TTAATTTAATTTTTCATGGTATGAAAACGATTCTGATTTTCAAAATATCTACTACCTAAATAAAGAAGTCTAAATATATGATTTTAGGGGGAGATTATACATTTCATTTTATTTCATAAAAAAATTCTTATCACACTCCTTTGTTAGCATTGATTCTAATAAAGAAAATATTTTATTTTTAAAGTATCTCCTAACTAAATAAATAAATCCTAAAGGTTTGGATTTTGCACAATTTTCTCAAATACAATTTTTAAAATTTTTATATAAAATCTTCTAATGTCGTTTGCTTTTCGAATCCAATGAAATGATCAATGTATGAAATATCAAATACGGTGTATATAATAAAAGTATCGCCTCAATTGTTCTTGAGCAATATGAATGAAGATGAAATACAAAGTTAGTACATTACATTTTATGTATAATTACATTGTCTGACTTTTCCAACTCTACTAAAACTTAACATGAACAAAATGTTTATTGAAAATTTTCAAAGTTATATTTTTTTAGTTTATTAATGAAAATATCTGGCTTCATCTTAATTTTGATACATTGACATCCATAAAAAACTTAACGTTAACCAATTTTTCATTTAACGAAATTTGCTTTGTCGACTTGTTTGTCTTCTTACAAAACTCCACGAAAGTCGACGAGTGAAATTTCTTATAGTTTTTAATTATTATTTTTCTTTCGTAGTAGAAAAAAAAAGATTTTAATTTTTAAAATATCTCCCAACTAAAGAAAGAAGTCTAAACTTATGAGTTTTAGAGAAAAAAATTAGACATTGCATTTTATGTCATAATGAATTTCCTATCACTTTTTTTTTTTTCAAAGGTGATGAAATAATGGCAATTTATTGAGTGCAACCAGAAGCACCATATTTCTCCTCCTATTTTTTGCGCATGTAGTCTTTATTGTACTCCCTCCATTCACAAATAAATGTCGTTGGAGGAAAACTCAAATATTCCAAAATAGATGTCGTTCTCACAAATCGAGGCATATTTTGTCAATTTTTTCCAATATCACCCTTACATTGGAAATTGTTGTGATGTTTAATGTAGAATTGTATTAGAAATGAATTTTATTGGGACTACGATTGAATTGAGAATAAATGAGGATATTATAGTATTTTAACAAGATAATTATTGCCTCCTTAAATTTTGTGAAATCTCTCCAGCGACATCTATTTGTGAATGGAGGGAGTACTTTTCTTCAATATTCTTATATTTTGTAATTTAGTCCCTGTCATTTTTTTTTCTCTGTCCTCCAAAAAATATCTCTAATCTTTAAACGAGTATATCTCCCAATCTGTGAAAAATTAGAGAACGTGTTATATATGAAATTTATTGTTCTCGTCGAGATCTATCGAACAAGCTCCATATCAAATATTTTTTTCCAACTTAAAAATGATTAAATTTCGATGGGCAGAAATAAAGTAATTTGTACCTTCATTTGGATGGATATCTAGTTTAAAAATATGGATAACCAACTTATTTTACATTCATATTGTTCTGTTATTTATATATTTTGATCCGTAAAGAATTAGAACATGAATTATATATGAAAATTACAGTGCTCGACGAGATCTATCTGATAAGATCAATGTTGAATTTTTTTTGAACTTTACATGCATTTAAATCTTATGGGCAGAAATGAAAAAATATGTTTTTTTTTTCTGAAAAATAGTTATCCGTTGTGTTCATACTGATTATGCAACTGTTTTTTTACTGATTATCCATTTTGTTTGTACTAGTTATCTAATCATATTTTTGACATTCCCTCATCTTCAAAAAAAAATATTTGGATAAGCATTACAAATCATTTGGATAAACAGTGTAAATAATTAGATAAACAGTACAAACTGGTTGGATAATCAGTACAAAAAAAATTGGACAATCATTTTCATAAAAGAACAAGGAAAAAAAGAAGTTGGATAACTATCACCAAGAAGTTGGATAATCAATAGGGTGGATTCCAGTTTTACACGATAGATAACCAACTCATTTTAAATTGGTTATCCATTGTGTTCATGCTGATTATCCAACCGGTTTGAACTGGTTATCCATTTTGTTTTTACTTCTTATCCATTTGGTTTGTATGCTTATTCAACTTGTTTTGTAGATGTAATCCAACGAGTTTGTATGCATATCCCATTTGTTTGTACTGGATATTTATCCAACTTGTTTGTAGTGGATATCCATCCATTTGGTTTGTATGTATATCTAACTTGTGTGTACTGGTTATCCAATGGATTTATGTGCCTAACTAAATTGTTTGTACTGATTATCCAATCATTTTTTTTGTTTGAAAAAAATCATTGTCCAATACGCTAATACTGATTATCCATTTTATTCCAATCATTTTTTTTTCTCTTTGAAAGACGATTATTCAACGTGTTTATAGTGATTATCCAATCGTTTTGTCTTGGTTATCCAATTATTTTTATTGCTTGTTTAAATAAGTTTGTATTGCTTGTCCAATCATTTTTTTTCTTCTCTCGAGAAAATGCTTGTCCAATTAATAAATTCGTAGTGATTATCCAACCATGTGCTATTGTTTCTCCAGCTATTTTTTTTTGTAAAAATACTTGTCCGATATATTTATACTTGTTATCCAACTAATTGGTACTGCTTATCCAATCTATTTTTTTTCTTCTTAAAATGGTTATCCATTTTGTTCATACTGATTATCAGACCGGTTTGAACTGATTATCCATTTCGTTTGTATTGGTTATTCAATCTCTTTTTTAGAAAATCATTGTCCAATATGTTAATACTAATTATCCAATTAATTAGTACTACTTATCCAAATTAGTTTTTTTTTTAATTATTGTTTTTGAAAAAGAATGGTTGTCCAATACGTTTCGTATTGATTATCCAACTACTTGGTATAAATTATTCAACCATTTTTTCTTTACTCTTTGCAAAAATCCTTGTCCAATTTTTTGTACTGACTATCCAACCGTTTTGTATTGGTTATCCAATCATTTTTACTGATTATCCAAACATAATTTCTCTTCTTTTTTTTTTCTATTGAGAAAATATATGTCCGATATGTTTATACTGATTATCCATCCGACTTCTTTGTAATGGTTATCCAACTTTTTTTTCCTTGCTCTTTTTCATGGTAATGATTGTCCAATTTTTTTAACTGATTATCCAACCAGTCTGTACTGCTTATCCAATTATTTTCACTGATTATCCAAGTGGTTTGTAATGGTTATCCAATTATTTTTTTCTCTTTTTTTTTCTGAAAAAATGATTGTCCAACGTCTTTGTAGTGGTTATCCAACATAACTACTTTTTTCGTTTCTGTCTGGAGTATTTTAATTTTTTTATTTTTTGAAATTAATATTCAATATTGATATTATCGGATAGATCTCGTCGAGTACTATAAATTTCATTTATAATTTATTTTTTAATTCTTTACGGATTAAGAGATATAAATTTTACAAGAATATTAATATAAAATAAGTTGGTTATCCATCTTTTTAAAGTGTATATCCATCTTAATTCTGCCCATCGAAATTTGATCATTTTTAAGCTCAAGAAAAATATTCGATATGGATGTTGTTGGATAGATCTCAACGAGTACTATAAATTTTATATATAATTCATTCACAAATTCTTTACGGATTGAGAGATATGCTCGTTTAAAGATTAGAGATGTTTTTTGGAAGAGAGAAAAAAAAGTAACATGGATTAAACTTATAAATTACAGGAAGATTGAGAAAAAAGTACAATAAGGACTAATAGTGCAAAAAATAAAAGGGGTGTACATGCTCTCGGGTATACTGGATACAGACTCGAAATGATCGCTAGATTGAAAATATTGCACCTACTAATGTAAAGTATTGCATTATTTTGACTAATACAAAAGGTCGATGAAATACGATATTAATACAGTACACTTCACTTACAAATTGATAGAGAAAAATTATTGACATTACTAAGTTACACTTCATTTACAAAATGATCTACAAATGAACAAAATTACATGGAGTAATGTGAAATATTGCATGGACTTTTCTTGATCATTGTGAAAGTCGACATGAATTTAATACATTATGATTCTTTTACAATACGGTCATTGAATTTCAAAAAAATTATAAAATTTATTGAAAATTTTCAACATCAATTTTTATTTTTACTATGAAAAAATTATTTCCTCTCCTTGTTCGTTGATACATTGATATCCATAAAAAAAAAAAAAAACTAATGTCAGTCCCCTTTTTTTCTTCTTTTGTCGAAATTGTATCCACTGGTTTTTTCATTGTTTAAACAACCCGATTAAATGAGGGAGATTTTAGAAATGGTTTTAACATAAATTATAATTTGATGGTAGAAAAACGAATGTCGAAACTTGTAAAATATCAAATGGTCAAAGGAAAGTCTAAACTTAACCTAGACACCTAGTAGTTGTACAATTTTGCAAAGATTATTTTTATCAATATTTGAATAGAATAATGGAGACTCTGTAAGTATGTATCTAAATAAGTAAATGGAGTATGTTGTTAATTTTAGTTACTGACTATTGGCTATCAGTAATCCAAAACAAAAATAAAATTAAAAGCAGTAAATATATGTGTAGTTAATTATGGATCCATTTGCCATTTTGCAACCGGCCAGAAGTTTTTTACAATTACAACTGCATTTACAGCAAACAAGTACAACCCAAATAAAAAGCTGTGCTGTAGGACTACGACGTCAGCCGGAGCAGTCAGAGCGATGGGTACATTTTCTTCCATAATTCTAATCTGTACAAACCACGCTTTCAGCATTCTGCACCCAGTTTGCTCTTTCTTCTTTCACGCATCATCATTTCATCGTTCCATTTGCAAGCAATTTCCCCAGTACAGTAAAATCTTCTTCTTCTCCTCCTCCTTAAAAAAAAGTAGAGTAAAATCCAAGATATTTTTCCCTGTAGGTGGCCCCCACATCACCGGACCAACGTCATCAGTTGCCCCTCTCTTTGACTATTATCCCCCTCCTACCAGGAAATTCAAAAAAAAAAAAAAAAAGAAAGAAGGAAAACCAATAATAAATTAAATAAATTTTAAGAAATAAAATTAATTTAATTTGCAAAACAAAGAATTGCCAGAGTTCCGGAGTCATTTTTCTGAATATTCAAACCTTTTTTACAAAACAGAAAAATAAAATAAAAAACTCCCTCCAAAAGACCTCCAACAGATTTCCCAATTCCCACCTAAAAAAACACCGTCACTTCATTCATGATATATCCTCGCAATCGTATCTCTTGAATCCCAGCCGTTCATGACAGGTGGCGCAGTTGAATATCGGGTAGGCCTCAGAGGGCATGCAAGCTGTAAGATTGGAAACTGGACGGCTCAGATTCTGCCCGAAGTGACCCCCCTGATAGTTAGTTACTGCCTTTAAAAGAGCGGTGGCGGGTCACCATTTTTCCGTTCTCAGTCAAGAAGGGTTCTCGAGACTCGAAAACCCTCATCCATTTCCTCCTCTGCAAATAAAACACTTCTCCGATAACTGAATTCCCGTCGAGAATCCCCCCCGGCCGTTGAAGTTTTTCCTGCTATAGAGCGATGGTTGTCCGCCATTTTGGTGATTGACCGCTGCAACTCGACACTCTTAGCTGCTTTCCGATCATTTTCTTGTTCGATCGTGTGTCTGTCATGACGTCAGCCGTTTTTCCCGGCCGGAGTGAGCATCATTGGAGCCAGCTAGACGGTAATCTGAGACAACTTAGCGGTAATCGACATTTTCCTCCCCGACTGACCCCCGGCTCTGCACATGGAACGCCAATTTCCCGCCCGAATTTCGGCCTCACCGGCCCGGTTTCTGATCTTACCACCGGAACCGCCGTTCTACCGAGCAATGCGCCATCGCCAAGGCTTCATCCGTGGCCTTCGGTGGTTTTCGATGCCCCGCCGTCGGCAAGCCGGAACCAAGAACCCGTTCAGTCCAAAGATTCTTTCCGCAGAGAACACGTGACATTTCATCTCTTCTCTTACTCAGAGAATGAGCGGGAAGAGCTGAAAACGCGACTAATTTCTGACCGAAATCGGGTTCGGGCCATGTTGACCCGGATTGAGAACCAAGAAATCGGGTCAGTGCCTGGTTCCGTTCGTCCCCAGGTTAATAATAACCTGTCTTCCAAGACTAAGCAGAAATCACCGGACCCTCAAACGGCGGAGCGCCGCCCAAATGGCCGGCCTACCCCGGCGGTTACTGCAAATAGGAAGATTAATCCTAAAATTGGGGGCCATAAGCAAGTCGTAGCTTCAATTGGCGGCCGAGAAACAAAGCTACGGCCTACGGCGGCGCCCACTAAGGTGACGGCGTTGGGTTCAATGATGAAGAAATGTAAGCATATTCTGAACACTCTAATGACTCAGCGCCATGGCTACGTGTTCAATAAACCTGTGGATGTTGCGGCTCTGAAATTGTACGACTACTACGATGTTATTAAGCACCCAATGGATCTTGGGACGATCAGGGCGAAATTGGAGAAGAAGGAGTACAAATCAGCCCAGCAATTTGCCGCCGACGTGAGACTGACTTTTGACAATGCCATGACTTATAATCCCAAGGGTTCCCAGGTGCATACCATCGCCGAGTCTATGCTTTCGAGCTTTGAGAACATGTTCAAGCGGGATCTTCAGCAGTACATGGCCCCAAGGCGGCAAGTCAGTCCTCCAGACAAGAAGAAAAATTCTAGCGGTGCTAATCGGAGCTCTCCGGTTCTGGTATTGAACTCGCCTTTGTCTCAAGAAGAGCCGGCTCCATTGCCTCGCATTCCACAAAGTGAAACAGGGAAATCGCTAAAGCCGAGGGCTAAGGATTCAAACAGGAGGAAGATGTCAATGGAGGAGATAGTAGAGTTAAGGGAAAATTTGCAGAGAATGCCAGGGGAAAAGATGGAACAGGTGTATAACATTGTCAGTAAAAGGAACCATAATTTGGTTCAGGATGGTAATGAGGTTGAGATTACGGTTGAGGATCTTGACGATGAGACACTGGGGGAATTGGATCGCTTGGTGAGTAATCATCACAAGAAGGAAATGATGAAGACGAAGGAAACTGAGTTTCATTTGGACGAGATCTTATTGATATCAGAAGAAGACCCTGAGCCAAAGGGAGTAAATGGTCTGCTTATGGTGATGATGTGAATAAGCATTGTATTTGCATTCAGTACTTTAATTACTTAAGTGGTTTTCTTTGAATTGGCTTATAATTTTTGTGCTTTTCTGAAATCAGACTCCAGGTAATAAGGCTCCTCAGGAATTAACCATGGAGAACGACAAGAGAGAGAACTCAGGAGCAGAAGAGTATGTTGACATTGGAGAGGATGCTCCACTAAATGAATTTCCTCCTGTGGAGATAGACAGGGATCCTGATGATGCTGATACTGGATCAAGCAGCTCCAGCAGTGATGATTCATCGTCTCATGGTATTGCATTGATAAATTGCTTTACAATGCTGTTGTGTTTCTTTTCTAGGCATTTGGGGTTCCACAAGAATAGTGTGTTTCCTTCTAAGCAATGAAGTTTTTGTCATTGGTTCATTTGCAGGTTCGGATTCAGGCAGTTCATCATCGGAGAGCGATTCTGACTGCTGAAGTGTATTACTGATGCCGGTGGGAAGTTTTGGAGCAATCTTTTTGGAGAAATGGAGTATTGAGTTGCAGTATTTGGGAGTGCATCATCTTTGGTGGGAAAGAAATGGATTGGCTGTTCATGGATTGGTTGCAGCTATGTAGGTACTGTGTAAAAATGGTAACTTGATTTGATCCACCAATAAAGTTTAGGATAACAGGGCTGATGAGATTAGGGATGACACGGGTAGTGGAAGTACAATTTAGGGAGAAACGTCCAACAAAGGTCATATTAGTCCATTAGTAGTAGTAGGACAAGTACATTTTGATAAAACATTCTACGCAAAAGCGGAAAGAGCAGTAGAACTGTATAGAGGAAAATATGCAGAAGTTCTGGGCAGAGAGGCCTTCTCAAGATAATAGTAACAAAGGATCTTCTTTGCCCTTCCTACAATTTGCCTCAAGCATATACTTCGGTTTTGTTTTTAGACTTTTATAGTGGACCCATCTGCAAATCAGAGGCCTTCTTAATTTTTTTATTTTTATTTTTTTTTGAACAAACTTCCCTCTCTAATTAATCACTACTCAGGCTATCTTAACATATTGTAATCTTGACTCTGGGATGGATTTGATTATCTTGAACGTGGGATGAATTCTATCACTATCTCAACCATGTAACTCTAATAATAAGTTTGGACCTTATGATCAATCCTGCTACCACTAAATTTGAATAAATGTCATCTCAACAGTCTTAATACATAAATCAACTGTATGAAGGGTTTTATCATCATCTTAACCACACAGGTTAAAACCATGAAATTATCTTATCATTAATTTGATCCACATATTCACCTGTTGGTGGATTTCATTATCATCATAGTATTAGAAGGTTGTGATCATCATTTGACCATTTCCAACAGATGTGATGAAAATGAAATTCATCTAACCGTTTATATGTAAATAAAATTAGTGATAAAAATAAGATACAATTGTTCTTGCATTAATCAATTGTTGATGAAATGGATGGACAATGCGAAAGTTAAGATGTGGATACAATAATAATTATTTGATTACATCCAATAATTTTGATGATGATAATACCCACTGTCCAGATGGTGAAGATATCTATAATATGGTTAGACGATGGATTGATTGATAATAATGTCCAAACAAATTTGTGACTATACATCGGTCGAAATAGTGATCCTACATCCCATGGTTTTGAAACTATGAAATTCATTTCGAGTTCCGACCATTGAGACATTGACAACATTCATTCGAGAGTCTATAAAAATTTGGAATGTCAACACAAGCCCCAAACACAGAACAATTCCTTCACCTTCGATTTATCTTAAACATTTATCCTCAATCAGCAAATCATTAAAGAGTAAATTGGACGAAAATCTTTCATTTGAGATTTTATATATATATATATATATATATATATATATATATATATATAAAAGTCAAGCGATCCTAGAGGACCTAGACAAGCAAAGCCTTGGAGATGTTATGGAGCAAGCTGGAGATGGAGAAAAAGAAGCTGGAAGTGTAGAATCATGTTTTAGGACTAAAATCAAATCAAAGATCTGGTTTGTTGTGCTTATGCTGCAGCTGAAGAAGCACGAAGTCATAAACTATTGCCGAAAGACTCGAAAACTATTTTACAATGTGCGTCGAAAAGACACTGAAAATCTAATGTCAAGACTGCGGAATCCATCCCATGAATTCTACGATAGTGTATTACAAAACCTTGAAAGAAAGCAGAACATTAACATCAGATTTAGTGCTTGTGTTCATTAACAGATAGATCCACTCAAATTAAGGCCAACCAGTCGCTACCGAAAAAAAGAAAAAAAAAAGAAAAAGAAAAAAAGGAGATCTTGATACCTCTTCGAAATTATCGAACTGCAAACAGAGAGATTGGACCTCCAGAAAGCCAAGAGAACCGGGTCGGATTCATCAACGAAGGCGTCTGCGAGCTGGGATGCAATTCCTCCCCAAGTCCCAACTCACAAAGTAATGAATAGCGTCAATAAGAGAGGTCAAGCAAACTATATATGCTTATTACCATCTGCTAGAGAGCATGATGTGCAGACAAAATTAGGTTGGTGATAACGGTGTCTGGTTCAGGCTACATGACAGCTACTTTTTAACCCTTTTACTTAGGAAGATGGAAAGAGAAGGGCAAATCCGGAGGAAACCAAGACATGTGAATCAGCGATGCTGCTGGTAATATAAATACTGACAAATTTCTTGAATTGCAAAATAAAGATAAGCAACAGTTCTTAAATAAATGCTCACAAACTGAGGTGTGTGACAATCCAAAAAATAGCCATTTGTGTGATGCACTTAACAGGTAGAGTTATCTACGTGGATCCATACAGCTCCAATACCAACCAGGAACTGAACATATAGATGTACAGTATGCGGAAAACCTGATGTCGACATTTGTCTGAAAATACATGTATATTTGAATCTCAAGATTTCACGCCCTCTATATTATCAGCAAAATGTAGAAATGAATGCTCAAAATCTAATTGCAAAATCTGGAATCCACACAGAAACAGAAAGAATTCACTTCTCATAGCTTCCGGCATTCAACATTTGAGCAGAACCAAGATGGTTCTCAACAGCAAAATAACACATGGAATTACCTCCTTAGGAGACCTCCTTATTACAAGTAGAACACTTGTTACACAAATCATATCAAACACTAACTTTACACTCTAACAGGCACTAACTTCTGTGACTTGCACAACAACATCTGAGGTATAATATGCGAATTACATTCCAGATCTTTGACGTGCCAAGTTCGTGTAATAAGAATCTGTGCACTAATGCCAGTGAATTTAATCGACAAACCTAATGCCACGATGACCAGCACAACCTCCTGCAGCAGCAGCATCAACACAATTGTCTATTACTGATGATTCCCACACCCACCAGAACCACCACAGCCTCCTCCACATGCTCCAGCTTCAACGTGGGGTTTGCTGTTGATGCCGTTTCCACAGCCACCAGAACCACCACAGCCTCCCCCACAAGCACCGGCATTGCTGATGTGATTGCCACAACCACCAGAACCACCACAGCCCCCTTTGCAGGCGCTGGCTTCAAGACTGTAATTGCTGGTGTGATTGCCACATCCCCCAGAACCACCACAGCCTCCCCCACAGGCTCCAGCTTTGCTACTGATGTGATTCCCACAACCACCAGAACCACCACAGCCTCCTCCACAAGCACCGGCACTGGTGACGTGATTGCCACAACCACCAGAACCACCACAGCCTCCTCCACAGGCACTAGCTTTAAGGCTGTTATCATTGATGATGTGATTGCCACATCCCCCAGAACCACCACAGCCTCCCCCACAGGCTCCAGCTTTGCTAATGATGTGATTTCCACAACCACCAGAACCACCACAGCCTCCTCCACAAGCACCGGCACTGGTGATGTGATTGCCACAACCTCCAGAACCACCACAGCCTCCTCCACAGGCACTAGCTTTAAGGCTGTTATCATTGCTGATGTGATTGCCACAACCACCAGAACCACCACAGCCTCCTCCACAAGCCCCAGCTTCAACTTGGTGTTCCTTGCTGTTTTGATTGCCACAGTCACTGCCACATCCACCAGAACCACCGCAGCCTCCCCCCTTGACACCAGTGCTGCTTGATTTACACGCCCCCGCGTTGACTTCATCCAAACTTCTACTGCCACAACTTCCATTACAGGCACCGCCACAGGTCCCTCCTTTCACAGGCATTACTGCATTTCCTTTGGCGACGTGCAAATCTGATTTTTCTTCTGGTACAGAGGTTGGAATGATTTTTATGCCTGCTTTGTGAACTTCTTCATCTGGACATTCATTTTCTGTTGAAGTTTTGTTGAAGGTGATGACACTGTTATATCCTTGTTTTTTTAGTATCTCATCAAGAATGAATGCTAGTATAAGGACAGGATACAACAGCCACTCTTGATTAGCCTATTTTTTAACAGAAGACAAAAAAGAGTGGTCAGACGAGTTGGGCTGGTTAACTGACATAGACACATTTTATGAAGTGTATTATTCACCTTAATAGTTCCCGACTTGAAGTTGAGTAATGCCACTGCCTTGCCATAGGGATCATCCGGAGTGAATTCAACACCTGTCATAAACTCATCATTTCCCTGCATCCCACAGTGTCCTTGCATCCCACAGTGTTTCGGCTCATATTCCAGCCTTCTACCAGGGAAGAACTTAACCTAGTTCAAGATAGAGATAAATTGAAGAGCACAATATCAGTGTATAGCCACATTTTCATGACAAGTCACATCTCAAGAAATGGATTTAAACCAAAGATTGTTCCTTGCTTTCATGTCTAAAGCAGTTACATCTATTGCTAAGCTGTAATATTACAGACTATAGTAGCATGCTAATGAAAATCCGGACTTTCCTTGTTCAGTGATCTAAGCTATGGCAACAAACGTAACGAATATTATGGTATATTATTCACTTTAGTGTAATACCTCTTTTAGCTAGGAGAAGAAACTTGTATTGCATGCCTCCTAAAACTTTTAGGAATAGATATGAGAAAATATGCAGACAAGTGACAAAGATGCGAGGTTTCGTGAAATGTCTTGATAGCACAACTTAAAATCTTGTAAACAAGCTGAAATATATGTACTAGTATCCTTTAATGGTCTTCCTGGAGAGCTCACGAAGCAACAAGGTCTAGTTTTTAGAATTTTCCACACATGATACAGAGTAAAATGAGGGAAAGATCGGTCAAACTGAATAATTTGATCACTTATTGAGTATTCTTTTTAAAAGATTTCCCAAATTCTGTCAATAATGCTATTTTCAGAAGTAGACAAAAAGATTAGGAAGGGTGACAAAAAGAAACCAAATTTTTAAGGCAGATCATTTCCATGTTTCTCCACACACAAAAAGAAGGTAGCCTTTACCCTATGATCACCAATCAGCTCGAAAAGGTGGCCATCTTTATCAACTATTCCTGGAAGCTTGAAGGACCAACTGGAACCAACCAGCAACCACTCTGTCCCTGTGAACTCAGCAAGAACATTTGTTTGGCCAGATTTAACAATGCCAATCACATCTTTTCTTGAAATGCCATCATTCCTTTTTTTTGACTTCTTGGAATCTCTGCATTGTAGCCATAACTGACTTCAGCATTTTTACAAAATAACTAAAAATAAAATTGGTATGAAGGAATGGATAAAAACACATTTGACAATGTTACAGTATTTTTAAATCTTCAATGAAGGTGCAAAATACTCTAAGGAAAGAAAGATGTGGTTATGTTTGTACGAACTGCCATGGGGACAGAAAAAAACAATGTTACAGTATTTTTAAATCTTCAATGAAGGTGCAAAATACTCTAAGGAAAGAAAGATGTGGTTATGTTCGTACGAACTGCCATGGGGACACAAAAAAAATTCAAATCGCACCTCATTTGAAGTCTAATGATCTCATCTCCATTATCGTCAATAATGCAAGTCCAATTCTTCAACAGATGGATACTTCCCGGCAAAGGGAAGAAACATGAGTTCTTCGAGAATGGCCGTGAAGGAATCATGTGAAGAACATAAGGAGAACTGGTTGGAATGGTAACTGAAATGGCCACCCGTAAGCGTACCGGCTCGCATCTCTTTGATTTAGAACTTGGTAAGATCTCCAACCATTTCTCCATGGTAAGATTAGATGCTGGAGACAGCAAATCTTCCAAAGACACAGAACCAGAACCTAAAGTTTTGGATGCCTTTGATACTTGTAAACTGGACGTTGGGTGGCACATAAGTTCAAAAGTAAGACCACCGGTAGGTTCACATATGAAACAAGCAACCTGTTTCTCGCCAGATTCTGAAAAGATAGTGAGACTTCTTTTGGCATTAAAGATTGAGTCAGGCTGGGTCTTTGAAAATGAGACAAACAGACCTCCCTTGTGCCCCTCTGGCAAGTTTTTCACACCCACAAACTCCAACATTACCTGAAATCATTTGGAGAAGATGCTGTAAACGTTCAATAGGAATAAGATAAGGAAATGCCAAGGGACCACCTTTTTCTGTTCCAAATGGTAAACTGATTTAGTTACCAGTCATGTAAGAACTTATCGATCGAACAGGTAACAGGACTTAAGATCCTTATGTGTGCGGTAGACAGCAAAAAAGCTGGATATAACAGATGCTGGTCATCATGTTTGGGTATAGCCAAGAAAGTTTCCATCACATTAATAATAGAGTTTAGTGCAATGCATATTACAGGCTGGTGGAAAGGTCATTCAGTTCTTAATGTTTCCTTAAGTAAATATCTCAGACACCACATCACGAAAAATGTACACAGCATCATTCATATCCAAGAAAGAGGGTAGAAAAATGCAAGAGTGACTAGAACGGAAATTACAAGGTCCGGCAATTACCTCTACAATTTTTGTTTCAGGAAGGTGAACAATTTTTTGGTTCTCTGTGTATTCAGAATCCTTCTTTGTTATGTCAAGAGACGGATAAGGACTAGTTCTAATGGGAGAAGGGGCATTGCCTTTGTGCATTGCTCCTGCTCTCCAATATCTTCTACCATACATCTCCTCCCACTGCTTGGTAGTTCCAGAGAACCCGGTATCCAACTTCTTCCCCTTTGTTCTGTCTGAATCTGTATCATCATGTTCTAAAACCCGGCCCATTAATTCCAAAAGGTCTTTGCAATATGTGGCTGGATGCAATTGGTGTGTGTGCCACATAAGATCAATGTCATAGGTTGGAACACAAAAGCTCTTGATTGATTTTTCCCTGTTTGTCTTAATTAGGTGCAAAAACCCTTTGTATCTAGCTACTGCTCCTTCAAGGAATTGCTCATTGCTCATATGGGGTCTTGCTACCTGAAATTAAACATATGATCTAGATAAACCGACCAAGGATAGTTCTGTAAGTATAATTCTTAACAAATTTTCCCAAATATGCCTTACCTGATAGAAGAAAGTGCATTGCCTCTTAACAGCAGAAAGCAGATCATATTTGGTGCACTTCACCGCTCCAGGTGCCCGGGTGGAGGGAGGGCTAAAATCCGTTTTGGTAAAGTCCAACTCATATGGCACATCTGGGTACAGAGTCTTCCATAAATTTTCAGTTTCTGACTTGGACTTCCCTTCAACAGTGGACACAACATTAAGGTTGTCAAGAATCATTCCATAGAGTTGTTCACAGTCAGATTTGTACCTCACCTGGAAGGTAACAAAACCAGTCAAATATCCAATAAAGCTATACACAGAGACAATCAGCTAGGATGAGGACAAAAAGGTCTTACAGGATTGAGTCTGTGGCAATGCCAAACCCATTCACAATCAAGAGGGGCAACCAGGGGTCCATCAAAGAATGGAGAATCCGAATGCTTAGCCAGCAACGGAAGCCAATAGACATTGTACCTACAAAGCAAATTCCCATAAATTCAGATTCATACAACCTTGTGAAGAAAGTACCAATTGACTTTTCTTTATAAGCATTGGAAAGAGTTATTCACACATAACAACAGCATGCAAAAAAAGTCATAAACGAATCTTAGCACACAAAAATCCATGATTAAATTAAGAATAGTTCAGGTCTAAGAACAAACGATCATCTCTTCTTGTTACCTATAAATAGCCAGATCAAGAGCAGGGCCGTCGTAAAGCCCACGATTCCTATCCACAGCCGCGAGGAAGTCAAGCTGCCTTCTTGCGGCAGGGACAAGGTCAACATTTATCAGGATCGCCTGAGCTTTTTGCCACTCCAATTCTTGGTCCATCTCCATGGCGGCTAATCCTCTTCCCTCCTGATTAAATAAACCAACACGACCACCCAACATAATCATGAAAAAATGGACAGTATACTTTATACGTTAAATAAATGAAAGGAAAATCTTCTCACCAGAGAACAAACTGAAGCTGATGAAATCAGTCACACTAGATTACCGGAAAGTCTCACCGACGAGGGGGTGAGGAAGTACAGTTGATTGATCGACAAAGAAGCGTTGACGCTTCCTATAGTTTAGCAAAGATGAAGAGAAGATATTATATTAGTCCAATGCTGATTGGATTTGGATAGGGCGGAATATGGCGGATAATTTCGTCTGATATTTATACTTGATGATGAGGATCATATATGAACTTTTGAAACTTGTACGAAACTTAGAACGTTGACGAGTAGTACAGCTTTTTGAGCTACCCAAGGACGAAATTACCCTTCAATATCCCCGCAACTATCTTCGCTGACTCTTCTCTTCTGCGGTTATAGTGGTGGTGAAGTAATTCACTGAAATGGTTTTTTTTTTTTGTTTTTTTTTTCAAGTAAACTGAAAACTATGTAGTATATAATATAATAGTAATACACAATTAGATTGCTTTTTTTTTTTTTAAAAAAAAATACTTAATTAGTGTCCTCTGCTGTCCAAAAGATCTGATCCTTTTCACGTTAATGAAAATTGTGATATAATGATTTGAACCATTCAGTAAAACGTCCAATCGCGAACTTACAATTTTTCGCTACAATTTTATCGTTGAAGAAATTGTCAAAATTTTATCGTTTTCTTTCTTTTCTTTTCTATTTTAATTTTTTTTCTTTTTTTTTTTAAGGAAAACCAGCCCTGAAATTTTCTCTAACTTACGTTTAGGAACTGCTGCCATCAAAACATCTTAAAATGCTAAGTTGTACTGCTACACTTGGGAGTACAAATTCGAATCGAATGATAGTTAAAACAGTGAAATAGGAGTACTAATTTTTAAACAATGAGATAATGAAACAAGACCCTACTTGACTTCAGATTGGATGGATAGTCTCATTAACACACAAAATAATATTATTTTATGACAGGAAAGAGAATCGTAGTTTTGAATTTAGCTTAATGTTATGAGAAGTGGCAAATAGTAGGCGTAACAACCAAATTTTGGAGCAAACCCCAAATAGTGAAGATCCACCTAATTCAATTTGGAATTTACCATATGGTACTGCAAATGCAAAGGACAAACTCCATTCCGTTGTACTATCATCATATTCACTGAAACTGTGAAGTCGTACAAGCAAGCACCAGTGTGGCAAATTGACAACAGCAGCCGGGAGCGCCATTTGTTTGCTTCCCTAACCGTCCGCCGTTCTTGTTTCATATCTGACGATTGGAGGAAATTAAAGAAACTTTTTCTTAAGACGACGATCCTTTTGTTATGCAATCTTGAATTTCTCTGAACTCTTGCTTGATTCAGGACGATTGACCCATATAAAGTGAACCATTTTTGTTGGCCAATGTGATTAATCAGTTAGTACTGACGCCTGATGGGGTTACTTCTGCTTCATTTTTCCTTTGCGCATTTGTTCTTTTCATTGCATCGTATTTGTCAAGATGAATAAGGAATCTTGTTCGTACATATATGGGAATGATATATGAAATCGGAAACTGACAGGAACTACTTAACCGTCTGCCAGAAAAAAGGGATGAGAAGATTTCGGTTGAGCTATAGGGAAAAAAAAAAAAAGACGATAAATGATGAACATTTTGGTTAAGATAAGTCTAACCAAAATACTGCACATTCTGGAAAAGTGATTTAACACCATCAACAGCTAGTAATAAAACAATACTGCACATTCTGTGAAAGGTAAAACCGCCATAGCTTCTCCTTTCCATGGATTTTTTTTGTGATAGCTTTTTCTTGGATCTCTAACATTATTACTCACTTTCCAACACAGTCCAATAGTTCATGAATATACAGATTACCAGCATTACGATGGATACATCGTCGTCGTGATATACATAACAATAGCTTCAACACTAAATCAGCTTGTGTGGCCTCCTAATCTGCAGATTTTAAATCCTGCACAAAGACTACCGGTTTCTAGAAACTTTTAGCTTGTGGATGAATTTACTCGAGCCGCACCTTTCTTATAACTCCGACTCCTCTGGCTTGCTGCTGTCTCCTTCTTTCTTACCTTTTTCCATGTAATCATTCTCAATGGTTTCTTTCAGGATTTGAAGCCTCTGGATGACAACAGGCGAACTCATCTGATTGGCTTCCCTGATATCTGTTTCTTCCTTACTGAGATTGTACGCGTCAAGCATGATTTTAATCCACTTGTGTAGCTCATCAGGAGTACTGCTTCACAGAAAAGAACCAATGTAATAGTATTAAATCTCGGATAAAAGTCAGATTTTACTTCATCTGAACCTCTTTAAAAAAGAGAAGAAAGAATCAAGTTCTCTTACGTGTATACAGCCTTTGGGTCCTTCACATCTTGTTCACCTCCTGGGGAGAAACATGTTGCTAATGCTGAGAATCTTTCCTCAGGATCTACGATATTTAACAAATACTTGAGTAGCTTTATTTCTTTTGGAACAATACTCCTCATACTACTCTGTGTGGCTTTGTAGAGGCGATACATTATATCCTTTACCTGAGATCATAAGTCCACAACTAAGAGATACACAACACATCGAATTACAGTAGGTACATTAAAAACTGACGCCAAACCAAACAAAATTGAGGTTCAACTGAAGAGTTATAATCATCTTCATCTTTCGCAATCTAGAAATGAAGCATAACAACTGGGAGCTGAAATAATTAAAATCTGAAGGTTCACAAAAAATTGCAATGTCTGTAAGGTCCTTGCAGTTTTAGCAACATAGTGGGAAGGCACTGTAAATAATATCCTCATTAGACATAGTAAATCACCTTGCGAAATTAGTGGCCGTACCTCATCCTTCATTGTAGTGGACTCTTTTGCAGAAGCCCAAGCGCTATTTATCAATAGGATCAGAGAAGAGTCTAGTTGTTTTGACTTGGCAAGGCTTTTAATCTTTTCGCATGCAGCATCTACTGAAGCTGAGTTCAATATATCATCAAATTTTGCTTGTGCGGAATCTAATGTCTCCACAATCTCCAGTGTGTTATCAAAAGCACTGACGGCAGTCAAACATCTAGCCCCAAGTCGAGCCATCGCTGTTAACAATAAGAAAACGGCATCAGAATATGCGACGAAGAAGCCCTATGCAAATGGCAGAAATACTGCTAGTTTCACTTATGTCAATGATCAGTAAGATCCAATTGAGACAACTTTTGCTTCTACCTAAATGATAACATCTTGAACATGTTTACACCAGAAGTACATGGCAAGTCATATATGCAATCTACATGATTTTGTATTGATGTCTTCAACCAGACTGCTTTCAGTTACAAGCACTCTTCTTACCATCTAACTCAACCATCCCTTGATCTACAAGCTAATTCAATGTAATTAACCACAGGGAAAGCAGAGAAATAGTCCTAATATGTTCATTACATATTTGACTATCTAGAGTTGAGTTTTGTGTAGCCAAAAAATCCACTGGCACTCAAAGAGAAAGAGCACACAAGTCTTATAAAATACCATTTCATACACGCACTACATACAGAACTAACGTTATTCGTCATTACAGTGGCCAAAGGAGAATATGAAACTCGTATTATGCAATCATTGAGATTTTAAAATGTAGCGCTCAGATTAATTAATTGGCAAAAATCTGACTAGGAAGGGGAAATGTTCATACCATCACGGTCCTCCAAGCCATCAAGTGTTTCAGAAAGCAGGGTAAGATGACGGAAAAATTCCCCAGTGAAATCTTTTCGCCTCTTGGAAACAATGGCATTTAAGTCCGTGGGGCTGTCTTGAATTTCTTTAAGCAGTTGAGTATGCTTCTCCATTTCTTCATCAATCTGCATTGCAGAATCCTCATTATGCACAAACCCAAACAAAATATCCTAATCAAATTGAGTACTCAAAATCCCATCTGTTTTCTGGGAACTTTCACAAAAATACCTTCTTCACTTTTCTAGCCAAACTAGTCAGCTTTTGCTTCATTTGCGAATCATTTTCAGAATCAGCTCTTGTCAAACACCGACTATAGAATTTATCACGGTATTTCTTCCACTCATCTCTAAACACCAAGTACTTTTTCCAATCCTTTGACTTGGGTTTCTCATTCAAGAACAAGTCAATTATCTTATCGCAAAATTGGGTCATTGTAACCCCATCTGCAATCTCTTCCTCTACTACTGTTTCAACGGATGAACTACTAACCAGCAGCCCTGAACAAATTCAAGGACCCAGGAAATAAAACAGTAAAGGGTGTGAGCCTACAAATTTCTTCAACCCCGAACAATTCAAATAAGATACAATAAGTAAACTTGAGATAAAAATTGATGTAGGTGAATTACATACTTGTCGTGGAGGTGCTTGTTGGGTTGAACTGTCTGGACTTAGAGGTGGAGGAAAGCTCCAATTGTGGGATGAAAACGGAAGACGATACGGCGGGAATTTTGGAAGAACTAAATGGCAATTCTGAGCTGAATGAAAAGAAAGTTGTGAAGAGCGAAGCTTCCAAACCCAATAAACTGCTCATCTCTTTCACTTGTTTGTTAGCCGGAAACCTAACAGTGTTCAGTCCGATCAGCCTATCGGGATGGCGGAACCGGAAGCACGGTACCGGACAGTGTTCTTCTTGTTCCCCTTTTCTTAATTTTCGCAAAAAGGAGATAAACTTCTTTCAGTCTGTAATTTACTCTGAGCAGTCTAAACCCCAGCTAAACCCAGTTGCAGCCTTGCAGGTGGTAGTTCTTCCAATAAAGTGCTGCCGTTTCATCTGTCCCTAGTACTGTATTTTTTATTTGGTTTTGTGAACAAATAATTTTTTTAAAAACTATTGTTTGTTTTGTTTTTTAATGTGTGGTTTTAGGTGATTTTTGTATTAAGAATGTAAAAAAAAATATATTGAAAATGTAAAAAAGGTATGCTGGGATGGAACAATTAATAATAATTTAATATGAAAATACCATCAAGAAAATGAAACAAACAAAGCTAATTAAATATTAAGTAAAATTACCTGATGTGATTTATCATTTATACAGTCAACTGAAAATATGACTGTATGCAATAAGTTTTTTATTCTGTCCTTTGGTATGCCTTTAGGGGAAAACTGTATCATCGTATCATGAGGGTAGCTTTCCATTAATATCTACTCTCATGTCCATCCGCTACTTATTATAAAGTATTTTAATTTCTACTAATATTCATTTATCATGTTTTTCCCATTGAAATAAAATTCTTAAAAATATATTTTACCATTTGAATTTTTCTAATTGCGATAAAGTATGTTAAAACTTTTATCATGATAAATGAAACGTAAGATAAATCAAAATGACTTATAATAAGAATTGAATGGAGTATTTTATATTGTAAAGTATCAACCGTCGACAACAGTGGTTAATCATCCTCGCTGATGATAGGTACGTCAACTAGCCAAAAAAGTTTAAGGTTACTTCACGCTCGTGTCAAAATTCGAATATTCAACTTAACTAGTCTTTACTATTCTCCATCAATATGTGTCGTAGACATGTGAATAACTGCAAAATTTACTTAGCCGAACCTGCCAGCCGCAAACCAACAACTGCTGACTACCCCTAATGTTGTTGTATCATCTACTCTAGGTTTGGAACAGTACACTCTCATTGTGTCTGGGTTGTTTTTTTTTTATTGATGAACAATTATTTGTTCTTGTGACAGTGATGAAGGTAACTCACATTGATGCTACCAAAGAGGTAAATATGTAAAAACATAATAAAAAAGAGTAAAGTAAAACAAAATAAATGACAGGTTGATCACTGGGAGTCCTGGAACATTAGTATGGTCTCAACACACATAATAATTAGCCGACTGAGTTAGAGGACGCTGATTCAACAGAGTGTGACTGAAAATTGTGAGGCTGATACAACTCTAGAGTCTAGACGCTAGATTGCTTGTTTGTTCATCGCACTAAAACGATGCAATAAACAAGACTCTCATAATGTGTGACAGGGAATGAAATATAGAAAATTTTTATGATTAGATAGTATGGAGAGAATAAAGAATGTGTACAGACCAAATATTCTAAGCCTCTGTTTGGTTGGATTGAATTGGACCCAAGAATTGGAATTGGAGGCCTCCAATTCCAATTCTTGTGTTTGGCTGATAAAAATAGACTTCTAGAATTAGAATTATAATTCATAATGGGGTTCAATTCTTTATTTTCAATTCTTTTGTGGGAGCAAATAATTGCAATTCGAATTCGAGGGTCTTTTAAAAAAATCGCGGGTCATGAATCCGGGTCAACTTATTTTTTCCGGGTTCGGATAAAATTGACGTCTCTTTCGCACATTTACCGTTTCTTTAGTTTTCTTTCTTCCTTTTTTCCTCCCATGGCAAAGCCCGTCTGAAATTGCCGGCTCGCAGGCTCTTTAGTTTTCTATCGATTTTGAGCAGGTAAGGTAACGGAATTTCCGTCTGTTTCATGGTGGCTCTACTTTAAGTTTGGGTTGTCCGAATATTTGATTTTTGTACCTTATTTGATGATTCGGTGTTCTTTCAGATCTATTTTGTTTTTGGTCTTTCAATAATTGCAATCGTTTTTCTTCGGTGAATAATCTCGTTTTAAGGCTTGTTTTCTACTGAATTTTAATCAGATGTGGTGGGTTTGGCTTAAAGTCCATGTTTCGGGTTTTATTGAATCTCGTACTGTTGAGGGTTTATATGGAATCTCGTCGGAATTGGATAAGTTAGGTACTTGTAGTGCCTTTCCAAAGGGCGATGGGGTTATACGCTTTAGTACTTGTAGTGTGTGCTCCTTATGGGAAGAAATAGTGTTTCGGGGTTTTCTTCTACCTTCCCTAAGTAAGTATATATGCCTGTTTGGTGTCTTGTTTTAATGAGTTCGGTGGCTTTTGCTTTAGCACATTTTAATGTACAGAGAATGATTCCTCTAATTTTTCTTGGGGTAGTGATGGGTGTAATTTATGCACGTTCTACGAATCTGCTACCATCAATTCTCCTACATAGTTTGTGGAATGGTTTTGTATTCTTAGATTTGATGAAATAAAAGATCATTATATTCTAAATTTTAGCTTAAACTATATCTTTCTTTTTATTTGATTAAACACAAGAGACTAGGAGATGGGTGCCAACTGTATTTGAATGTGAGGAGATGAATATTTAACATCTTATATACTTTTCCTCAAAAAAACATCTTATATACTTAGGCTATTAATAGGAGATGATCAAATATAACGCCTTTCTCTGGTTGTTTTTGTCTTTCTCGCAGATTTTTGGTTTTAAACGCAGCTTGAATTGCTTTCTTGCCATTTTCGCTTATTGAGCTGAACTAACCAAGACTAAAATTTGAATATGAACTTCTTCCTTTCATATGCTTAATTAGTTTTTCAGTTTAACGGTCGTTATTCTGCTTAATCATTTATAAAGTTTCAAGAGTAATCTATTTATGTACTTTCCTATGCTGTAGTTGGAGGTGATTAAGAGCAAAATTAAGGCATGCAAATCTAAAGAAGAAGCTGAATCACTTAAGTTTTCAGAGAAGAATCTCATTAATAAGGTAAGAATGATTGAGGCTTCGTTTTTCTTTAGCTATTTTCTCTTGTCCATACACATATGTAGACGCCAACTCTTCTAACTTTGGGTTCAGCTATGTTATACATTTTTATTTTTGTTCCCTTTTTTTTAACGTCTGAATGTGTTCTACTGGGCATTTAATGACTCGCATAGATATATACTGAATCTGCGGAAGCCAAGATTCCCGCCGTTCTCGAGTATTTGAGAACTGTCATTGAGGTATGTTGACATTTATTCTTGCAGCATTCTTGTTCATTAAGGGCATTGATTGTAATTTTGAAATTTTTTCTTGAAAGGCAAATTATTGAGTTCTATTTCAGTTTTGGATGTTTAATCGGTTTAAAAATAATGAATAGGGAAATTATTGAAGGGTCAATCGGACTGCATGACTAGTTTGCCTTTGACTTGGTATGTTATGTAGTCTATCTTTGATTCATGAACTTCTTGTGACATGTAATTATATGCATGCTTAGCAGCTAAAGGTTGTTATAAGGAGCATGTAAATGATTGTTGATGGTCTAAAGATATAAACGCAGGCTTGAACTAAAATAAAGAGAATGAATGAGTTTAAAGAGTTCGGTTATACGGAGTTAAAAAATCCAGATTTAAGTTGTTTGAATGAACCGCTCAAATGTCATCTTGTAAGTTTCTTTCTCTCCATGATTTCATACCTGATTCTTCCTGGGTTAGTAAGGTTTGTTTTAGTTTGCATGTTTCTCCAAATTACCTTGCAAATCTTTTAAAATGTGGGTTCAACAACGTAGATTGCTGATTATATTTTAATAGTGCAGAAAAATCAGAACTGCAACCCACCGTTGTCAGCCCTTTTCTCCCAGCTCCTTAGCTCTTTTAGGATCTCTTTATATGAAAATCATCTTCATTTAACATGGTTTAATTCAGTTTTTATGGAATGCAAATCGGAGTTGTGGTTTGCCCGGAAACTCGATTTGAAGATGACATTATCCCTGCTGAAAAATACAGAAAAACCTGAACAGAACCCTGCTGTTGACATGCCTATTTCTCTTTGCTCTTTGATTCTTTTTCAGAATTTCTTTTTGGAAAACTCTTCAAATTTGAGTGTAGTTTAATGTAGTCTTCTTGGATTGTCAAATGGATTTATGGCTTGTCCAGAAATTGAGTTTGAATCTGGCTTATCAGTCGCTGGAAATCATTAAACTTTTTGTCATAAAATCTGGTTTAAGCTTCGATTTGGGAGGCTTGTTTTGCTTGACTTTTGGACCTTTTTCTCTGAAGTCTTTTGATAAAATCCTCTCTGTTTATTGTACTTTAATGTTGTTTTAATGGTTTGCTAAAACAAATAGTGAGGTGCGCAAAAAATAGTATCAAAAACATCATTTTTGTAGTAGCCCTCAAGTCAATAAATGTACCTTCATTAGCAGGAAGAACAGCTCCATAAGCAAGTGTTGAAAGGCAAATGATCAGTAGTAATAAAACTCTAATTGTGATTCCATGGTTGCTTGGATATTTTTTACTTGATGGTAATGTATGCTCATTTGAAAAGCTATATTGCTTGCTGAGGTTTAATCATAAATTGTTTACGTTAATAGGAAATATTAAATGTGGGTTCGTCTTACGTCTAAGTTCAGGTTTTAACGTGGGTTTGTATTACGTTTGTGATTTTTTGTCTTTCCTTGTCTCTTCGTAATGGTAGACTTTTTGCTTTTGTAGCAATTCGTTAGAGAATCTTTTGATATATTTTGCATCATTTACATGGCTTTAGAAAAGTCAATAGTTGTACTTATTTATTGGTTAATAATTAGATTACATGGATTATCAACTCTCCCGTAATGATGACGAGGATAACGCAAGAAAGAGGCGAAGAATATTCGTCGTACACCAAGTTGTTACTGCAGTTGCTATAGCCGTTATGTGGCACGAAAAGCATATGGTGAAAGAGCCAAGATTGGACTTCTCCGTAGCACGACAAATATACCTTAGGCGACTCTATTATGGGAGTGATAGAGTTTGTAAGGATCAACTTCGTCTAACTAAGCACTGCTTTACTGTTTTATGCTCTAATCTAAAAGAGCTAGGAGGATTGAGAGATTCACTCATGTCCCCGTGGAAGAAGCAGTAGCTATGTTTCTCTATGTCCTTTCTCTCAATTTGACGAATCGAAAAGTGAGTTTCGATTTTATAAGATCAGGGGAGACAGTCAGTCGTCAATTTAACATGGTGTTAAATGCTATTTTAAGAATGGGAATCAAATATGTTAACCAAGAAGAAATAGAAATGGAGGGGCACGAAGCTGAAAAATGGATGTGGTTTGAGGTAAACATAGTTCGTGTTTCTTTGGTTAGTTTAGAAGTTAGTATATTAATCTTAAGATTCATTTTTGGTTTTTGGTGGCAGAACTGCCTTGGAGCATTAGATGGCACTCATATCAAACTAACCGTTCCACTAAGAGATCAAGGAAGATACCGAAATAGGAAGGGTGAGATAACGACAAATGTTATGGCTGTGTGTGCCCGTGATTTGAGATTCACCTACGTTTTGCCGGGATGGGAAGGTTCCGCGGTGATAGTAGAGTATTGCGCGATTCCTTAACTAGAACTCGACCCTTTTGTAGTACCCAAGGGTAAGTTGCATTTCTGATTTCTTTTTCCATTTTTCTTCATTATCTTACATACCTTTAGATTATTGGGAAATAAATTCTCCACTTAAATCTTTAGGAAAATATTTTCTTGTCGACGCGGGATATACAAATGGACCAGGTTCTTAGCTCCGTTTAGAGGGGTTCGTTATCATCTTAACGAGTGGTCCGCTAGAGGTAACAACTCAAGAACTCCCAAAGAGCCGTTTAACCTCCGACATGCAACCGCGAGAAATGTAGTTGAACGAGCTTTTGGTTTGTTGAAGAAGCGGTGGAAAATCATGAGAGAAGTCTCCTTTTTTGATGTTAAAACCCATGTGAAAATCATCAATGCTTGTATCGTGCTGCATAACCTTATTAGGATAGAAGCTCGAATGATCCGATCTTGGATGAAGTTGATGCGGAGCTTCTTACTATAAATAACCAAGATGATGATGCTCAAGGTGGTGAGGATGGCGAAGACACGCAACCTGTGCATGGTGGTGAGGATGAAGAAGACAGTCCACATGTGCATGGTGTGCTGCACGTAACTCCACCAATTCATCGTAGTTCAATCTACTTATGAATGGAGCCGATTTAGGGATTCGTTAGTGAAGCTATGTTTCGTGATTATCAAAATAGATGTATCCTGTAATTGTTACTAAATTGTACTTGCAATGCAACATCGTTGCAATGTCGGTCATTGCACTCTCTCTAATTCATAGTGAATAGTACACCGTTAACTCGCAATGTGAATGGTACACTGTTTTGTGATATTATCGAGCATTGTATGGTTATTGAGACACTAATAGATGTTGCGTAAAGATGTGTTCTTTCGATGTGTGATGAACTCTCATATGATTCATATCTCGTGCTCGCTTCTAGGAATTTTGTTCACTGTTTAGTGTTTTAACAATTTTCGCTTAAAAATCGTATTTTCTACACTTTTGTCTCTTAATAAGGTCACCGCTTTTCGTTGGATTCTAGTTTACATTTCGGGATATATGTATAGGCTGATTAAGGTAGGAATAACAAGACACACAAGCAATCTTAGATGCTAGTAATAAGAATGTCTTTGTTGTTCGTATAGTTAAACCGAATTGCAGATCTCGCCAAGTGAATATTTGAATGACATTTGGCTACATTCAGCCTCCCCTGGTTTATTGATATTGTAATGATAATCAGCTCCAAATATGTTCTTTGCATGAGTATCGATTCGTATTCTCTTTAAACTTACAGAACAGATACATGTAGTTCAAACATAGTGCCGGATAATCGTGTATAATTATTTTGAATGAGCAAAGACTCGAACTTTGCTTGTAATGTATAAGATGCAATGTATTGCTTTCTTCCATTGAATATTTGTAAGGGCAGGTCGGGATGTTCTTTTGAGAGAACACGCCACCGTCGGATAGCTTAAAATGAGATTGAGTTGTCTTGTTTGTTATTAACTGTTTTAAGGTTCTAGCTCTCCATTTCTTTTCTAGAGTAAAAGTTTGTTTCGCAAATGTGATAGTAGTGGTTGAGACTAACAATGTGAAACTTTTTCCTTTCGCTATCTTCCATTTGTACTTGAAAGGGAGTTGCTGCGTTGCTTTTACTTTGATGTATTCTCTTCCAATAATGGAAATTTTGGAGATCCAATTTGATCCCAATGAGAAGTCTTGGGTTAAGATCGCATCCGCATGCTATTAAATTAAGTGTAGGATTGAATGATCTTAGTTGATGTAGACGGTAGCAGTTGGAAATTAGGAACATATCAAACAAGGCAATCGTATAAGACTAGGATACATAACCATTTTTAATTAAGCAACTGTAAGCAACTGTATAATCCTATGATCTGAACTTTTGTTTCTTTAAGCAAAACTAGTTTCTTCTTTTGTTCCAGCATGATAACGTGTTGCTCTTCCTTACATTTGTAGGTTGTCTCAACACTATTGCCTTGTTGCTAATTTTGTTGTCCACTGAGTAATACAAGCTCTCTGAGATGGCTCCTCATTCACAAGCACCATCCCCTTCCAAAGGGAAAGGAAAGGTTAAAGAATACTTCACATGGACCCCGAAATGGATAAGGTTCTGGGGAGTGTTTCATTGAACAAATGAAACAAGGGAAAAATTGGATGGGAAATGTGCGTGGAAGAATACTTCTGGACAATTTGCTATTAATGCGCTTGCCGACAAGTTACAGAGTAAGAGTAGATAAGAAAAAGATTTTGTCTCGTCGAAGACTTGGGAAAAGCATTATGAGACTTTGCAGCCTTTCTTGGTTTCTTGCAACTCCGGTTCGCAATCACATGGGATTACTCAAAGGGAAGAGTTGAGGTCCATGATGAGAATGTGTGGAACGAACGTGTAGAGGTAACTCTATTTTCAATATTGAGGTCTCGGTTGTATGACATCCCTTTTTCCATGCATAATCTAATAGGCATAAGTTTTGATAGTTTCTCTCGCTTTTTGTTACTGGATGTTTCACTTTTGAATGGCATTATGAACGGATATAATTGTTTAGGGTAGTTTCTCTCGCTTTATTTTCCGGTTGCTTTTCACTAGTGACACCCAAAATATGAAATAATGGAATAAAGAGTCTATATATACTTTTGCTTTTTGGCTAGCCGGAAGCTACAAATTTGGATTTTGTTTGGAATGATCGAAAATGTACACAACTTAGAGGCCATGATAAGGAAGAAACCGCAATTCCAATTTCGTGTGGTTGTTTGATGCATGGTTGCTCATTACATTCGATTTATAAATTTTCTTTTGAAGGCAAACCCTAAACTTGCACCCTATAGAAGGAAGATTATAGTTGAGAATTGGGAAGAAATTTGCACAATCTTCTCACAAGACCGTGCTAATGGGCAAGGTGGCCACACTCTTAGGGAGATGAATGTCAAGAAACAAGAGGGGAATCTGTTAATTTGGGAGATCCATTTGAGACTTGCGAGGAAGATGAGATCATGAGACTTATGATGGGATATCAAAAGAGAAAAGAAGCTGCATCTTCTTCTACTTTTCAAGGTATGAACAAGAAACCGAGTTCATCAAATATAATGTGTGGTTTCATGAAGCAAATTGCTGAAAACTTTGGTGAGTTTATGGTGACTGAGAGACAAATATTGGTTGCTACAAAAAAAGCTACACCGGAAGATATACTTGAAGCATTGAAGGTAGTCTCCTTAGACGAGATGCAAACCTTCAAAGCCCTAGATTTGATGATGGACAATCAGAGATTATATGACACGTTTGTTGGGTTGTCAACGGTTGAAATGAAACAACGATGGCTTATGGTGCAGCTCCATAAGGGTAATTAATGGTTGTCAACATCAACAATTGTTTCTTTTCTTCTTCATCAACTTGCTTTATGTCTTCCTTCGACACTCGTTTTCATTTTGACATCGCTTAGCTTTTCGATTTCGGCAAAATTCTAGTTTTCATTTTGAAGACACTGTTTTAAAAATATGCAAGCCCAACATTAGTATTAAAATGCTGGCAGAGTCTGAAATCTAACTCATTGTAGTATGATTGGTCAATAAAAAAAAGTCAATGTCCGTTGTTCAAAATATGCAAGCCCAACATTAGATTCAATTCTAGAACTATCTAAATTCCTAAACATCCAAACGCAAGAATTGGTATTAAAATCTTAATTATACTCAATTCTTAAGATCTCCCAAACAAAGGAATTATATTGAATTATAATCCTAATATCTCATTTGCAATTGTAATTCCAATTCAATCCTAATTCAATCCAACCAAACGGAGCCTAAGGAGTTTTGGCAATTTTTGGCTAAGTTACGGCAATTGTACTGCAGAATATGGACACAAGGCCGCATAATAAGTGGGGCTATCTTTTGAATATTTTGATCTCCTCAGAATGTGCAAAAGAGAATAGAAATTTAAATCCTAGTGAACATTATGAAGCAAACAGTTTGTCAGGATTGATAACAAACAGCACATAAGATGAAGCCATTTGATGAAGGAAACAAGAGGGTACTTTATTCTTTTCGATCAAAACACCCTAAAACGGAATGATCAATGCTTGAAAAAAAGGTCAGTTGAACTTCGGTACTACCTCCTCTGATGGTTCCACCAGCTGTAGAAGTCCTTTTCTCAATCTTTCTCCTTTTTTAATCCCGCCCCAAGAAAAACCATCCATCATTCTTGAAGACCCGAAACACATAACCAAAAGGGCTTCAAAAACTTCTCATCATCTGATCAATTCATTTAGGTTAATTCTTATCAGTGTTATATCAAATATTGTTCTCTGAAACATGAGACCTGATCATCATCATCATCATCATCATCGGCGGCCGGATGTGGCGATTGATATAGGAAAGCCAAGTTTCACCGGTGGCCTAGAGTTCTCTAACCTTACCTATACAGTCATAAAGAAGAAGAAGGAGAATGGGAAATGGGTGAATAGAGAAACGGATTTGTTGCATGATATCATTGGATATGCACCCAAAGGATGCATTACTGCAGTGATGGGTCCAAGTGGAGCAGGGAAATCGACACTTCTTGATGGATTGGCTGGAAGGATTGCGAGTGGAAGTCTCAAAGGCCGGGTTTGTTTAGATGGAGTGGACACAACTCCAAGCTTGATCAAGAGAACTTCAGCTTATATAATGCAGGATGATAGGCTTTATCCCATGCTTACTGTCTACGAAACACTAATGTTTGCTGCTGATTTTAGACTCGGATCCATCTCCAAATCAGAGAAAAGACAGCGTGTCGACAAATTGATAGAGCAGCTAGGCTTATCAGTAAGTGAATCCAACCGCTTCTCCCTACAGAAGATCTTCTGATCAGATTTTGACAGACTAAAAGAGAGTAGCTAGGCAAATCTGCGACTAGTGTTATACAGAAGTGTTAAATATTCTTTCAACTAATAAAAAGTTAGAGTTGTAATCTAATATTGATTGGATATTTTGTTGCAGACTTCTAGGCATACTTACATTGGAGATGAAGGGACAAGAGGAGTGTCAGGAGGCGAACGCCGCAGGGTGTCAATTGGGGTTGATATCATTCATGGACCGTCGTTGTTATTCTTGGATGAACCAACTTCAGGATTAGATTCCACCAGTGCTCACAGTGTTGTGGAGAAAGTACACGACATTGCGCGAAGGGGTAGTACCGTGATCTTAACCATTCACCAACCTTCGTCGCGAATCTTGTTGCTGCTTGATCACCTCATTATCCTAGCTCGCGGGCAGCTAATGTACCAAGGTTCTCCCAAGGATGTAGCTCTCCACTTGGGGAGAATGGGACGCAAAGTTCCAAAGGGAGAAAACTCCATTGAGTACCTCATTGATGTAATCCAGGAGTATGATCAGTCACCCCATGGAGTTCAGGCTATCGCGAAATTCGCTCTTACTGGCAAGAAACCTCCATCATTAGCTGATGATGGAATTTCAATTGTTACTGTGATTCCATCGCCAGCTCCAACTAAGCGTGCCGGTACTCAATCAGGCCGAGCTGACGCCAAAACCAAAAGACGCCTTCCATTACAAGCTGGCATGGACGACGATGAAGATTTTGATAGCAGTGTCAGGAATCCATGGAACCAATCCAGGTCTTGGACTCAACCACAAGGCCTAAAGTTTACTCCCACTAGACAGCATCCAGGCCAAAGAACTCCATTAAGGTAAGGCCATCAATCCTAATCCTGCTTCCTAACTCAAGTTCCAATGAACATTAATTCAGCATCAAATGATTTATCATATTCCAAAATGTCTGTTTTTCTTGAACAGTCCATCCCACGGCTACTATACCTACTCGAGCGACATACTTCAAGGCACTCCAACACCTCACAGCAGCGATTACACGGTGAATGAGAGCGATTATCTCACCCCTGCTGCTGCAAACAAGAAAATGGATAACCTCCAGCTTGGTCCAAAGTTTATGAATTCCTTCTTCTCCGAGACATGGATCCTAATGCGCCGGAACTTCATAAACATCCGGCGCACGCCTGAACTTTTCCTTTCCAGGCTTGTAGTCCTCGTTGTCATGGGTGTCATGATGGCCACATTGTTCTGGAAACCTCCAGAGAGTGTTCAAGGGATCACAGACCGGCTTAGCTTCTTCATCTTCACAGTCTGTCTCTTTTTCTTTTCTTCCAACGACGCTGTCCCGGCTTTCATCCAAGAACGGTTCATCTTCCTCCGGGAAACATCTCACAACGCCTACAGGGCATCATCATACACCATTGCTGGACTGATCACAAACCTTCCATTCTTAGCCCTTCAGGCTGGATCATATGGAGTTATTGTTTGGTGGGCTCTGAAGCTCAGAGGGCCATTCTATTACTTCTTGCTTGTGCTCTACATGTCTCTTCTGTCAACCAATTCGTTTGTTGTGTTCATCAGCTCAATTGTCCCAAATTACATATTGGGTTATGCTGCAGTGATTGCTTTCAGTGCCCTGTTCTTCTTGTTCTGTGGGTATTTCTTGAACAGCCATGATATTCCCAAGGGTTGGAAATGGATGAATTACATTTCAACAATGACGTATCCGTACGAAGGGTTGCTGATGAATGAGTACCAGACCAACATTACATTTGGATTGAATCCATCGGGACAAGAAGTGAGTGGATTTGGGATATTGAACTCCTTACACATTGATTTGGAGGAATCAAAAAAGTGGCAGAAAATATACTTTATGATTGGTTGGGCTGTCTTCTACAGGATTCTGTTTTACATAATTCTGCGATTCTTCTCCAAAAACCAGAGGAAATAACAGAGAGATGCCATCAACTTGGATATCTCATTAGTGGCTTCCTTCCTCATAATGGGTTTGATTTTCATTGAATTGCTTTATACTGACATTGCAATCAGCAAATTGTAGACTTGAATTTTTCTTTTATTTTTTTTACACTTTTATATTATTAGGAAAGGAAATACTACACATTTAATTAGCTCTGCATTGTTGTATTTTGTTTGAAAGGTGGATATACAAAGAAAGCCTTGTTGAAAAGCAAAAAAAAAAAAAAAAAAACAAAACAAAAACAAACCATATGGTTCCTTGATTGAATTTGTATTTTGATCCAAGGAAACCTTTCCAGGGATGTGATGTAAGTACAAGAATTGGACTTAGGAAGTTTTGCATTTGTTTGCTCTTTGATTTATTATTTCAGGGGTTTGGAAAAACTGGTATTTTTCTTGTCGCGTCACTATCTTCTTGCCCATCAACGGCTGAGATTCAGGAAAATTTGGGTTTCTTCGAGTGCACGTTCCCCTCACACTAATAAACTCGATTAACTCTGGTCTTTGAGATTAAGGAATTTCCATTAGAAGAAGACCCATTACATACAGGTACGTAATTGCAATTATATGCATGTTATTAGTAATATTTTTTCCATTCTAAAATAAGAATCATTTTTTTTTATTGTTTCAGTAAGACAAAACGGCTCTCATGTTGGGAGGGATGGAGTTTTTGAAATTCAATAAATCAGTTGCAATGAACTAATTCAATAAAATAATTTAGCTAAAAAAAGTAATTAGAAACTTGGAATGGTGTTAGACCTTAATTTGTCACCAATTGTATTATCATTAGTTTTGTTTATTCTTAACGATGAGAGCGATATGCGATATTTTTATTGTGTCATATGGACATGGCTATAAAAAATATACTCCATTCATCCAAAAATTATTGTCCAGTTTAGATTTTTATTTTTTGTACAAATTGAAATGAAAACGAAAATCTAAACTGGACAATAATTTTGTGACAGAGAGTATATAGTTATGAACTTATGATTGAGGGAAATGCGTATAACTAGTGGGAGATTTATTTTTTTTAAAAAAAAAATAAAAATTGAAAGGCAAACTATACCATGGAGATTCAAGCTTTTGTGAATCGTCCTTAGCTTTTTGTCTCTATCGAAAGGTTTGTAACGCCACCTTCAGAATAGAGACCTTACTTTTGTTTATTTAGTTTAATCCTAGGAATGTGAAAGATCATTTTTGTGATTCCCCGAATGTGATATTGGTTTCTTCACCCCCTCTAATGTTTGCATCAATTCAAACAACTCGACGATGATAACTTCAATGAATGGAGAAAAAAAAGAAAGGAGCAACTTTCCTTCTTTCTACTTGTCATAATTGCATAATCTGTAAAATAAATAAATAAATAAATAAATAAATAATCGAAGACGGATGCGAAAACTATGTGATAATCACGGACAAGAGAAGTCTCTAACATTAATGTATTAGTTGTTTTGACACATGAATAATCACATTTTTTTCACATAGAAAGCATCGATAACGTTTTAAATTAAGTATACCAAGGCCTTTAATTTCCATGATATAGCAGTGATAGAGGCGATAATTAATCCGGAATTTATGGCTAGAGTTGAAACTAAGTTAGATTCTTCTCTCACCCTTTTTTTTTTTTTTTTTGTAAAACAAATGCACATACAGATAAGTCACCAAATCTCGGATTATAAATATGGTTACATCAATCTTAAATGAGCAAATTAAGAAAACAGTTATCAGAATCATCCTCGGACAAAAATGGCTGAAGTAATTAGATTTGCATTCCTAATTGTCCTGATCCACGCGTTGTCGGCGGCAACCGGAGCATCCGCATTTAGTTTCCAGGAATGGTGCGGAAAAACCAGCCGGAGCAAAGTCTGCCTGGAAATCATCCGGCATGATCCTCGACCCGGTTTAAAAAACAACCCCAACGGCCTTTGCACCATACTCAACGACAAATCCAAGACGTTTGCGGAATCCACCTTCTACAAAATCAAGGATGCCTTGGGTAAAGCCGCGGATCCTGGCACTAAACATGCGCTTCAAACGTGTCTTGATGCGTACGACGAGACCATCGGCATTTTAAAGCCCTTTAATTTCTCTGCAATTGACGGTAAAATGTGGTTATTGTTGTACTCTAGCCTCCAGCGCGCACGACAAGGGCTTCAAGAGTGTGAAGGCGCAACGTCACGGTTTAGGGCCGAAGACACATTTCTACTCGATGTTGTGGCCGTGACTTCAGATATGGTGAATCTCATTGAATGTGACAAAGTTCTTTGTGAATAAAGAGTTGTTAATGAACCAACCAGTCCTTATTTAGTTGGCCACAAGAAATCGTTTTAAGGCTACTCCCAGGCCAAAGGTCTCAGGTTTGGGTGCGTTTATTCCCCTTTCTTCAGTACTCGTTCTATAGTCCTTTGGTTATAGTTTAGGTGTACAATGTTAAATGAATGAAAGAAAGAATTGACCTCATATTCCATTGTCCCACATGGATGAATGAAGACTCTTGAACTCAATATATATATTTCATGTGCTATTCCCCTCATTGACAATTAATTTTGAGGTGGAACTACATGTGGACTTATATGGGCCTTCAAGATACAATTGTATCCACGGGAGTCCTACCCCATTTGTGTGGGGCAAATTCATGATATGTATTTTTTAGAAGAAGAGTTGATTTATTTTTTACACTAACAAAATTAAACTTCATGATTTCTTCATTCCGGTTTTTCTTTCTTTCTTCAGTAATTTATGGTTTGTATTTGTATCATTGAAACCATTACTTTCTTGTGCGTTCACGAAAGGACTTTTGATTATGATTTCGAAAGAATAAACTAGGCGTCAAATTATCAGGTACTAATGTACCGTGAAACTTCCTATCAAATAAGAAATTTACCAAATCATAAACGCAAATGATGTCGTTTCTTAGTAAAAATATTCCGCAATTTTGGTTATTGGTATGCTTGATAATGTGTTAAGGAAAAAAGAAGAGTCTAAAGAGACGAACGTGGAGAAGAAAACGAAACTAGTGGTGGGTTCAACAAAACAGCGGTGATTGCTGAAGGAATTAGCTAGCAGTTGGAATGTTCTCCCACATCGTGGGACTGTTGGAGAGAGGGGCGGCGAACATGGATATAAATTGCTGCTCCTGACTAAGATAAACTCATACCTTTCTCGGCCTTTTGGCTAAGATCAAGTGTAGTATCTGTTCTTATCAGTTTAATATCTGATACGTGGGCCATCGGTCCACATGATGTTAAATGAATTTTTTAAGGGGGAAGGCCCATCTGGGTAGCTTGCTACTCGGGCCTTCGCGCGTCGCCCTTGCGTGGCACTACTGCATGGGCCTGGCGCACCCCACCAAATAAAGTCTAATCATTTTGTTCTTAATAATTTTAGACTAAATTGTTAAAATCTTTACTTTAAAACTGAAAAAAGAGGAATTGTATGAATAACCCGACCATATAAAAGGTTAAATAAGATTAACTCGTTAATATCATACTCCGTCTATTGAACAATAGAATACTACTGTATCTGCTTAAAGAAGACTGTCTCCAAATCTTCATGTTAGTAGGCGGTTTACTTGGTCTTCTTTGCATTACAGGAACCAGTAACTCAAAAAAGGGGAGGGCCGTAATATTTTGAAGGAAGCAAAATTGGTAACTAACAATTACAATTAAATCGCTTAATTTGTTTTACCAATAACAAATAATTGCTTAATTTGTCAATTACGCACGCGTCTGAATAAATAGTATCAGTGAATATAAACCATTTTTCTGATTCAGTGATTAATGAACTTATATATTAGCAAATCTTCTCATTAATTTCCTTCGCTCAAAATTGATTCGTTTACAAGTATTTAAAAACCAGAACAAAATTAGAGACAATGGCTAGAGTTGAAGTTGCCAACTTTGTTCTGATTAGCATTCTAGGTTTCTTTTTGTCCAACGCGGTCGCCGCCACTGATTTCCGACAACTTTGCGGGCAAACATCCCACAAAGACGTCTGCATCTCAGTCATCCAATCTGATCCTCGGAACAACTTGAAGAATAGTCCCAGTGCCATTTGCACCATTCTCAACGACAAGGCCCAAAGGCTTTTCTTCTATTTCGTCCAATAAAATCAATGGTCTTCTCCACAGCGCCACCGACCCATTTCTTTCAGAGGATCTTAAATCTTGCTCTGCTGACTACGATGAGATCGTTTCCACATTGAAGGCCCTCAACTTTTCGGTGCTCAACAATCAGACGTACGTAGATTTGAATATTGGGCTGTCACTAGTCGCTAGCAGGCCTGATGATTGTGAAGATTCGTTCAAGTTAAACCAGCCCAAGCCCATTCGTTCTCCGTTGACGGCGGACAACAAAATTTTGGGGGATATTATTTCTACCACTTGGAATGTTTTGAACCTTGATCACTGTGGTAATATTACTTGCCAGTAATATCTATTTTTTTAATCAGTTTTTCTTAACTGCAGTATTAGAATTGTATAGGCAGGAATACAAGGATAATAGAGTGTAAGAGAGTAGGCATAAGTTTTTCAATAAATAATATCTTTCGTTTTCTACTATGAATTTTTTTGAAAGAAAGAACACTTCATTACGATTGCTGAAAATCAGTCAGTTCTGATTGATACAAACTGTCCAACAACGACTGACGGGCACTAAACTATTACAACAGGAAATACAAAATAAAACTTTCACCAATCAGTTGCTATTTCTGAGAGGAAGGATCCTCCAACGACATGATTCTATTATTAGACTTATAACGGAACAAATTAAAAATCTGAACTCGAGTAGATCATTAACTATCAGATTAAAACTCCAATTAGCAAATCTGAATAACAAATATCCGTGATTGAAAATTCTCGGGCTAAACTAACCGTCATTAAAGACGACTTGCGACACTCAACAGATCGAACAAGATCTATTAAGCCACACAAGACAAACAAAAAACCTGGCTCTGTTGGCGCACTATAGTAAAGAATCGAACCAGAATCCATACTGAGGGTGGCAAATTCCACTTAATTGAATTAAAACACTAGCATAAAAACAACAAAAATATAAAAACAAATTAAATAGAAAACACAATATCGGCCGCCGATCTAATAAATAAATCAGGCCAACAAATCGTGTCCGTGATACCGATATGGAACTAATCATAACATTGATTTCTCGAAGATGGGGACGAATTGCCGACATTAGAGTTTCAAAGTTGATGTTAATGACGCGACAGTGATATGGAGATTTCATTGACGGTGGATAGATGTGCATTATTTTGCTTTTTTCGGCAGAAAGAAAACAAAGATTTTATACCTTCAACCACCGTTAATAGAGGTTGGGGGAGGAGGCAGTGGAGGTTTTTTGAAGAGAGAAGGGAGAGTTTTTTTTTTTTTTTCAAGAGAGAGGTTTTCTAAAATGAATTAAGTGTTCTTTGGTACGAAAGTTTTGCTCCATTTCCTGTTATGTTTGCGAAAATATCTTGAATAATAATTGTTTTACTTTGAAGGGTTATATGAAATTGAAACGAAATCCTTTGATTTGGAAATTGATTATTTTCTTTGTTCGATTGCTATTACATGATGAGTGATCTACCCGTTAAAGATATTTTACTCTATGGATTTTAAACACCTTTTATCACTGACCGATAAAAGATTAAGTTTGAGAATTGGAAAGCTCTAACTAATCTCGATAATATACCAGAATATGCTTCAACAACCAATATAATTCGAACATTAGTTTAATTTCTGCATAATTGATTATTGATGAAAATCAAAGTCCATGTTTATTCGTATTGGACTCTTAACCAGTCATCACCAAATGTACGTAAACTCATTAAAAGAAGACTTTAATTAAAATGGCTCCAATCCTTGTTTTCGAACATTCAAGAGGGCGTGCTTTTCTTTTATTCTCCCCACATTCTGACCGAACCACAAAAGTCAATTCGGGGTTTAGTGGGACAATTATAACCTTTTTGAGATAGTGACCAATATTAATATCCGATGATTTTGTTAATGATTGTTTTTTCTTAATGTCAACTTCGTAATTGCCGTTCAAACCTCGTCAGATCTTTCCCCCTGTTCTGTCTTTGAAATCGTTATTACTACAAGTTTTAAACACCTTTGATGTGGATCCAATAGTAGTATAATAATAATAATAATAATAATAATAATAATAATAATATTAGTTTCCAGGTTTTGATTTACTGTGTACCTTGTAGATTGTTTGACTAGGTAAAACTTACCAGAGCGTTCCTTGTAATTCGTCTTGTTCTTGAATTTTAAATTTTAACCCCAAAAAAAAAGTGTTGATTGGAGCATCAAGCTGATTAGGAATGAGCTAATGAATGAATGGTGTTCCAGCTCATTGTTCTTTGTTGTTACTGCACTTTTTAAGTTTAAATCTAACTTGTAATTGGCAGTTTGAGAAATCGAACTGCGGAGACAAGTTTCTTTTGTGGCTTTTTTGATCTTTTGTTTACTCCACTCCTTAATGTGCCAATCGAGAAACTTCTGAATTTTGAGAATATCGATGGAAGACAATCAGACACGAATCCCCGAATGCTACTCCTTCCGTCCCAATTTGAATTGTTATTTCTTGTTCAAATTGTGTTAAAACTGAATTGGACAATAATTTTAGAACAAAGAGAATATAAATTTTATCCACTTTGTTTCATTTCCTAAACCCATGTGATATAGCAAATTTATTGCTCCACCTATCAACTGGCTATGAATTAGAACCATCTTCCTCAAATTATAACGTTACAATAAACACCATCCTTAATTTCTTACTACGGGTAGTTTTTTTTTTTTTTTTCTTGAAAAAGACTAAAAGAGACTGCCCTCTATTTTTCATGCAAAGTTTTTCCCAACTATAATAATCAAGAGAACAAGGCAAGAAACGGTATTTAACATCTTACTGTTACTCCTGAAAGAGAAGGGTTAAAGAAAAGAAAAGGGGTTTGAAAGTGACATGAAGGGAGTCATTTTCAGTGGGTCCAACTTACAAAATGAGATTTGCCTTAATTTACTAATTCAAAAATGAGCAAAAGGTTTATTTCTATGATATTGCCTCAGAGTAACAGACAAGGGAAGAGACGAACTCAGAGTTGAAGAAGATGATGATATGACGCCAGAAAGGTTGCTCCGCCCCATTACAATTTAAAAAATACTACAAACCCACTATTGGTTAAGGAATTATTATACTGGGCAAAAGCCCCAACCCCTTTCTGATTGAACAACTCTTTCCAGAAATATTAACATTTTGCAGTTCTGTTGTTTCTCACTCAATTGCTCTCTTGCCCCCATCTTTTGAGACCTGTAGTCAAAAAACCAAGACCATCAATACAAGTACTTTTGTTTTTGCAGCAGTTTCTGGTTGTTTGGGTCCTTTGGAGTCATTTTCTGGGCTACAAAAGTCTACGTTCGTTTATGTAAAATAAAGAATGTTTCCATATTGCTGGATGGAACAGAAGCCAGGACTTGTGGATTTGTTTTTGGATAACTGATCACTGTGCTCGGAGATTTTGATCACCCCATGGAGCAATTCTGTTTGATGATCATAAGAGGATGATGGGAGGATTGAGGAGGAATTGGAGTACAAGAAGTTTGGTCAAGCTTAGTTTCATCATCTGCCTCTGCCGCTGTATTCAGTCTGTTCGTGCTCAACCAGGTACTTAACTCGCAAGTTTCTGCAACAATCGCGTTTGGTTCATTTTCGATTCTGTTCACCTCATGGATCAAATTCCTCTGTTAAATTCACTTGACAATTCTCAATATTGTTTCCCTCTCTATTTTGTTGAGGTTAAAATTCAGTTGAAAAGAGCACAGACAATGGATATGTTGTAACATGAAATGATGTAGAAAATGAAGTAGGAGTTACAAAATGATGTGAACAGATCTCAACAAATTTTAACACTCAAAGCCTCAACATCATGTTTTGGAAGAGACGATGAACCAAAACCACCGAGACATTTATGTTAAACCTCTACTAAGAAATAGCATAGATCAGTAATGAATTCATTAATCATAGTAATAACATAGGCAAAAAGATCACCCTAGGAAAATGATGAAGAGTTAATTGTGTTGTGTTCCCAATCTTTGACTAAGTCTTAAAGAGATCCAGGTTGCAGAAATAGATCGGTCACAGATCATTTCATGAAAAGCATGGTGTTTTCTACTTCATTAAATCTTTGGGGTACTCATAAGCCACAAGTTTAGAACAATTACAGCAGCCTTATCTAACCTATTGAACTACACAGACCTCTTCGAAAGGAATCTTTTTCCTAATCGAAATTTCTTTGTGTTTCACAATAGGTTTCTTGAGCATAGAGTGCTGTTCTGATGCCAATTATAATGACAACCTCACAGCAATAAACTGGGTCAGTGACAAGTTCTGGTATCCTAATTACCAAGACTGCGCCATATTAAGAACAGGACAAGACCATCAAGACTACAACAGGAAAAGGATCTTCAACTCAGATGTTGGTAATAAATGGTGTTACAACTTGACAACACACAAGGATCAAGATTATCTGGTGAGAGCAACATTTCTTTCCGGGGACCAGGAGAAGAATCCTGCACTGTCTGTCTTCAATGTGTCCATTGATGCAACGGTAATCGCGCAAGTGAACTCAGATGATTCTAAGATCGAAGTTGAAGGGATTTTCCGAGCAACCAGGGACTATGTTAACTTCTGCTTACTTAAGGTTCAGGGAGCACCTCATATCTCAAAACTTGAACTGAGACCCCTCACCACGGATTATCTAGACAGGGTGCCTTCTAGTGCCCTCAACCTAATTAAAAGAGTCGATGCTGGGAATAAAGGAGATGTCAGGTATGTTCCTGTTCAAGCTTTGGAAAAAGGTGTAACAAATCTTGAAACGCCTTAATTCAACAGAAAAGAGAATCCATGAACTAAGTTTCAGAGTCGTAGGAAAGCTAAAAAATTCTATATTCTAATTAGTAAACTTGGAGTTCCATAACTCATTCCTTCATACGTTCAGGTTCTAAGCTATACGTTTTCTTTCAGGTACCCTGTTGATGAGTATGATCGAATCTGGGCGGCAGATACTTATGCTGATCCAACGGTGAACTTCATATCATCACACAACATCAACATTACCAGCTCAAGTTACAATAATATATCATTTCCGCCCAACCAAGTTTTACAGACAGCCCTAACCCATCCAGAAAAGTTACAGTTCTTATACGATCAATTAGATCCAGTGTATTATAGATATGATATAATCCTCTACTTTCTTGAACTAAATGAATCTGTTAAAGCTAGGGAAAGAGTCTTTGATATATATATCAACAGTATAAACAAAAGCCAAGTAGACATAGTGGGTAGTGGTTCTTCCGTTCTTGTAGTTGCTCTAAATGTGACAGCCAATGGGAAACTTGACCTGACCATGGTCAAGTCCCCAAACGGGTCAAAATTAGGACCAATACTCAGTGCTTTTGAGATTATGAGGGCTCATCCATTGAATCAAGAAACAAGCCAGGAGGAAGGTAAAGAGCATGCTAACTTACTACTTCAGCTAACTGTGGATATAGAGGCCAAAAACAATACCAAGTCCAATTTCGTGAAGCACTAACCTGAAGCTTTATCATTCTGTGTACCTTTTTTTTCAGTTGGCATAATGATGGATGTGAAGAATGAATTGCTGGAACATAATCAAGATAACGAGTTCCTACTCAGTTGGTCAGGGGATCCTTGTCTTCCTATTTCTTGGCCAGGATTAGTTTGTCAGCAGGTTAATGGTACCTCGCTAGTCACTAATATGTAAGAGTTATCATTTTCAGCCATAATTGGTGCCTTCTTTTCAGTATTTCAAGCTACGTCTGCTGTAGTTGTTTTGATATCTAACAAATGTATCTATTGATTCTGCAACAGGAATTTGTCCTTCAGAAACCTAGGGGGACCAGTTCCTCACAGCATCACTAAGCTAATCCATCTGGAGGAACTGTACGTGCATACTGCACTTTACAACACAAAGTCTACCAATAGTGTTTTGCTGTTGAAAATAGGCATCAGAAAAAAGAATATTCCTTAACCCGTCTAATTCAGATACAAGCTCCTCTATAGAAGTCCCACTTAGAACTTGAAAGGATCATAAATTGCAAAACAAGCTTTGAGCATTAGCTGTCATTTCCAGTCAAAAAAAAAAAAAAAACAAAAAGAAAAAAGAAGAAGAAGAAGAAGAAGAAGAAGAAGAAGAAGAAGAAGAAGAAGAGGAAGAAAAAAGTTCTCATTTCTAGTCCTCATTTTCTAGTAAAAGTTTTTCAAAAAGAGCAATCAGTAAATGCTTCTGTGACCAGACAAATAGCATGAATGTCAACATGATAATCTTCTAAATAGGTCTCTTCTATTGGATAATGAATAATGATAATATGTAAACAAAGTCATATGTTTGAAAAGCCGGTTATATAATTCACATGCATCATGCTATTGCATCTTCTCATTATTAACTGTTGCTGTTTATCTTCCAGGGATCTACGGCACAACAATCTCATCGGAGATGTTTCAGAAATTCTAGCCTCACTACCAAATTTGACGAGCTTGTAAGTTTTCTAGATCGAGCTAGTCCTGTGTAAGTTGGATCAGCGTGGTTCTAATTAATTATTTGTTTTCTCTCTTCTATTAGATATTTTGGCTGCAATCCTAATCTCCACAATGGACTCCCAGACAGCCTGAACAGAACAGATCTCAGTACAGAGTATGAATGTCTAACCCTGGCCAAGGCCAGAAATGGTTTCAACTGGATTAGTAGCAAAAAACTGTAATTCCCACGAGTACCATCTTTAAATGGCTACTCTTCAGCGAGAGTTTAGTGATAGAAAATTAATAAATGTCTTAGAGGTTTTTTTTTGTTTTTTAAAGTTTCTTTTCCTATCTACGTTTCAGTTATGGGAAGTGCACTGGTCATGCATCAAGGCACTCATTGCAGAAAGTTAAGATTGGTGTGGTTGCCGGGGTTTGCACTCTTGGCATCATAGCTGCAGGCGTGTTCCTATTTTGCCGCAAGAAAAGGAAAGTGGTTTTCTTAAGCAAGTTTGATGGTAACGAGTATCCAGTGACAAAGAGTAAGTACAATAACCAATTCAAATCCACAAAACTCAGTGAGAGGTTGTTAATATTTTAACCACTGTGACACATCTTAACCTCAAAAATAACTAATTTCAATTTATGCAATAATGTTTCCAGTATCAATAGGGTCTAATTCCATGTTCATGGCAAAATCTAATGGCCCTTAAACTGATAAAACAAGTGCTCCCGTCTATTATAGTTCTAAGAAAAACCCTCAACTTCTATATGAATGGACATTTGACTTTTACTGTGCAGATGCTATCTATTCAATTCCAAGCACTGAGATTGTGCGAAAGTCTATATCCGTTAAGGCTTTCTCTCTGGATTACATAGAATTAGCAACCCAGAAGTACAAGACATTAATAGGTGAGGGAGGATTTGGATCAGTCTACAGAGGCACCCTTTCTGATGGTGAGGAGGTGGCAGTAAAAGTCCGATCTGCCACATCAACACAAGGAACACGTGAATTTGACAATGAGGTAACCATAACATTCTTTCACAATCCTAGTTTCCGCTTCATACAAAGCTTAGACATCTAATATTCCTTTCCCAGAAAGTGATGGATCATAAAAGCTCCCTGTTCAAATCACTTGGGACTGTTGAACATTCGTCATAAGATCTCCTTGTATTTCTATCTACAAATGTATTTGGAGTTAAGACTTCTTCCTGCACATCCATATATGATATCTACTCACTGGACCTTAAAACTATCTTAATTCATGCTAGTCATTGACTCAACGATTGGATGCCAATTTAATACAGTACTTCCTTACTCCCAAATGAAAAATGTGTCTCACCTGAGTACCTGACAGACTCCTGTGATAAATTTTCTGCAGCTGAACCTGCTCTCAGCAATACGCCATGAGAACCTGGTTCCACTTCTTGGTTATTGCTCTGAAAAGGACCAGCAAATTCTTGTTTACCCATTTATGTCTAATGGCTCTCTACAAGATCGCTTATATGGTACAGTATATTGTTGAGATGGTATCACTTCATCTACTTATATATCTACAAAAGCTAATGGTCTACTTTATTTAATTTTAACAGGAGAAGCATCAAAGAGAAAAGCTCTAGACTGGCCAACCAGACTCTCCATAGCCTTAGGATCTGCAAGAGGCAAGTAACATGAGTAACATTTTCTTATAACACATGTATTTAGAAACATAAGACGACATTTTTATAGACTGAACTTCCTCATTCTGATATGTTTTCTGGAAATAGCAATAGGCTGACAGCGCAATTAACTTTCTGTTTAAGTTTTTCTTCCCTCAAATGCTATTGGTCGGTCATATCTTATGAAATTGTGTTTCCCTCAACTTCTTCATTGCTTTTGATTCTCATTATCTGATGTTTGAATCCCCAGATAGAGGGATAAATGATAAATTGCTCTTCTTGTTGTTCTATCTGATGTTTAAAGCGGAATCTAAGTTATCAAATTTATTCCAGGTTTAGCATATCTTCACACATTTCCAGGCCGAAGTGTGATTCACAGGGATGTCAAATCAAGCAACATCCTCCTGGACCAGAGCATGAATGCCAAGGTAGCAGACTTTGGCTTTTCAAAATATGCACCTCAAGAAGGAGATAGTACAACCTCTTTAGAAGTAAGGGGTACTGCAGGCTACTTGGACCCAGAGTAAGTATAATTACTGATGAGACCATTTGGAGAGAAAAAAAAAAAAACTACCTACAAAAATCTCTGAATGGTTTTGACTTTCAACTTCTACAAATTAAAAAATCTGCATATATTCACACTAACAGTAATGATGTCTATCAACAAAATTTTGTGACCATGATTGCTATCATACTCCCAATTGTTCTCAAAATTTTGAGTCACTAAAGAGCTTCCTAAAATATATGCCAGGTATTATTCAACCCAACATCTATCCGCTAAAAGTGACGTATTTAGCTTTGGAGTAGTACTACTGGAAATCGTGACTGGCCGTGAACCTCTCAACATAAACCGGCCACGAAATGAGTGGAGCTTGGTTGAATGGGTATGATTCAGTTCCTAATCTTTATACCTTTATATGTCAGAAGGCCAGAACAACCTTCTGCAGCACAAACTAAAAGTAGATGACTCGCCTCAGCGTTCCTTGGATCAAATCTTAGCACTCTTAATGTTGCACTGGAGAAAACAGGGTTAAACTAAGAAAGTACAAAGAAAGTGATACCAAGCAAAAGAAATCATATTTCGGTAATCTTAGCCAGACAAGAAATATGTATAGGGCCATGATGATTATACCTTAATTACAATCCTAGTGGTATAAGCTAATTTTATGATCCTAGAATCCACAACATAGATAAAACTGCAAAGTCTCAATGTCTGTCCACTTTCACAAACTCTCAGCCATTTCATCAAGATCATATCATGTTAATTACATTTGATTCTCAAAGGACTTTTATCATATGAACAAATCTTTTTGATACAGGCTAAACCCCGCATAAGGAATTCTAGAATGGACGAAATTGTTGATCCCAACATAAAAGGAGGATATCACGCAGAAGCAATGTGGAGAGTTGTAGAGGTTGCTTTGGCATGCATTGAACCATACTCAGCTTATAGACCATGCATGGCTGACATTGTCCGAGAACTAGAGGATGCTCTCATCATAGAAAACAATGCATCTGAATACTTGAAGTCCATTGACAGCTTTGGGGGATCACATCGATATTCAATAGAGAGGCCAATTGTTATTCTTCCCACTCCAGTTCAGACAGAAACATCTCCAATCCTTTCACAACCACCCCCACCACAACCGAGATGATTATCAAATGAATGAGAGGATTCAATCATAAGCAGGAATCCATGCTGCGAAACCTCATTCTAGTGATCAAAAGCAAGAAGTAGTTGGCTCTTCATACAACGAAAATGCGCAGGTCAAAAAAATTGAGCTCAAATTCGCTGACACTTAAGTAATGAAGGCATGAAGGCCCATCACTTTACTGTCAATACTATGGTATAGGGGGGGCTAAATTAGTTCATTCTTTTTCCATATAAACCACTAGTCCTCAGGATACTGAATCCTACAGTAGTCTACGGATCAAAATATTACAAGAAATATCCATGTGACCCAAGGGTCAGTCTGCAATCATGCACAGATGATCACTCTGGAGACACATGGTTATTCCCCTTTCTTTGGTAATTTTGACTAAATTCAGTAGATAAGCAAAGAAGTAGTAGTTAATTCCAGGTTAAAGAAATAAACAAATGTCTGAAGCATCGATATTTTACAGAAAGCACAAGCTTTAATAGATTTAAAATTCGGCATCTTAAGCCTTAAAGAAAGAAAGAAATGCATTTCCTTTTTATATGGAAACTGCAGCATAATGAGTGTGGAAACATGTAACCAACATCAAGGAAGAATTCAAAAAGAAGACGTGCCCAGAAAAAGAATGCTAAACTCACTGCTGACTCGCAACATAGTCTCAAAGGGGGACAATCACATCACCAAGTAAAAATGTATGAGGAAATTTTGTAGAAACTTTAAAAAACTTGATCAACCAGTCTAAACACTATCGATACTCCTAAATTCTGTATATATGAAATTATCTTCAGCAATTTGAACTATTGAGTATTACTGTACTCAGACAACGAAGAGGATACAGCAATACAAAGCCCTATCTTTGTATGAGATATATATCAGGAAATCTGTACTCTAGCACAAGACTGCTGAAGCTAGACCAAGCACAATTACCAGCCTTTCTACTACAGCCAATAACCATACCCCACACTCTTCTGGAAATGGTAAACAACTGGCCTTTCCACATTTCCATTTTGCAACAAACATATAAGCAATTTCGGGAAGTCCATTCTCACAAATAAAGCTTCACATTGCAAATTGGCAACTTAGCATATTAGCCCATGGGCAAAAGAGGAATACTTGACAAACAGATAGTGATATCTTCAGCAGAATATTGATATACATTCACTTTATCAACCTTCATTAAGTAATTGCTTTACAACAACCTAAACAAGCAATCACAGAGGTAAAAGTGCCACTAAGAAATCAAATCAGAAAGTGCAATAACAGCATAGATGCCTTTCTCTTCCAAAAAAGAAAAACTTACAAGATAAGGGTGATAAGATAATAGGTGGGGATGAAGAAACGCTATGTATATATATTCCAACGGCGGTAAAAGGAAATCAATTAGTGGTGAAGAGCGCAGGGTTAGCAGTTGCGCTACCGACTTGGACTTCCAGCAATTCGAGACGGCGCTCAAGCGTGTCGAGCTTCTCATTCAATTTCGCTAATTTGCTTTTCGTGGTTGCTTCTGAAACGCGCAGAATTCACAAAATTAGAAGCAGAGAAAAGAAGATCGCTACAAAGCAGGTGGAATTAGGTTCCTTAATTTTGAGAATTAATCCGAAAAGCAAAGAGTATGAACGCACCGAACTGGACAAGGAAGTCAAAAAGGCGACGGACATTAAGAGAGATGTGAGAAATGAACTCCCGGTTCTCCCAATCGGCTTGAACTGCGATTCCCACGTTCACCGCATTCGTAATTCCTCCGGCTCTCGCCATAACCCTTGCTTCTGCTCCGTTTCCGTCTCCGGCGACGTTTCCAGAAATTGGGCGCTAGTCTTCAACTCCTCCACTTTCTGGCTTTCAGCTGAATTGACTTTGACTTGGGTTAGATAACGGGAGGACGGTACGGTAATTTCCCCTGCCATTACTGGTTTAACTAACAATGTTGGGATTGGGTTAACGCTTGTTTTCAAAGGCACGCTTCACTACATTTTACAGTTGATAGTTGATACTTACCTGACATTTTATTTTATTTTAATTTGGTAATATTGTACTTAGTGTGATATAAATATTACTATCATATTGATATTTTGCTTAATTTTAAAACATCAACGGTGTCCTAAACATTAGTAATGTACTAGGTGCTAGACCCGTCCGATTGACGGGGAGGACATATTACATATAAACATTACAACACAAGTGAAATAAAAGAATATTAATATTTTTTTTTATGAATTTTGTATTTTTATCAAATGTTAACTATGAAATGTATAATGACTCCATTGGAAAATATAAAATACAAAAATCAACAATACTTTACTAAATGAATACGGCGTTAATTTATTTAACGCAAAGGGAATTGTTAAGAAATTCAAAGAAGAAAAACTTTAAAAAAAAAAAAAACGAAAAGAATCAATATGTCTTACCATACTTCTTTGTAGACTACATTCGTGGTCTTAGATTTAATAGTACCATTTTCATTACTTATCAGAGTCTTTATTCCTTGTCTCGAAGTACTTTTGATAAAAACGATATATAATTAGTCATGGCTAAAAACTGGACGCGACAGATATTATTTCACAAAATTTAAACAGAGATTATAAAATAGGGGAAACGAAATGTTCTATTACAATTTTACAAACATGTACAACTTCTTCCAAAAAAAAAAAAAAAAAACAGATATGTACAAAAAAAAAAATTTAAATTTAAACATAGTGCTCCCTTTGTCCCAAAAAAAAAAAAATCAACATTAAATCTATATCGAATAAAATCAACAGTCTGATTAATATTATTCTCTTGACACCAATATTATTTCCGTTGTACTGATAACAACTTGAATTATCATCGGAACTATTTTCAATGATTTTGTAAATGTTTTGAAGAGAATTCTGAAGATTTGAAATCAAAGTCAGGGAGTTCGATTATAGATTTCACGTGATGAACTCTAGTGATTCTTCAAAAGAAAGTCGTTTTCTCAACCATCCCGGAGTACAAATGTACTGAGAATTTTAAATTAAGCCTTGCCTCTAATTAATCATTACACTTAAGCAATGTACTCCATTTTAAATTAAGTTTTAAACCATGTAGCCTTTGACAGTCCTTGGTGAAAATCATGTTGTGGTTACGGCTGCCAATAAGCCATTGTGCCTAAGCAAAGCCTTACAATTTTAGATATCATTCAACCAACAATAATCAAAGGGGTGAAAAAAAAATCATTTATAGTGGTTTGATGTATCTTTTGGGTCAATAAGAATATACATCACGAGCAATAATCTTTATATCTCTCTATATATTAAATGAGAATTTTCAATTAGACACATGGTGTAAAATTAGATAGGTTAGTCCATATGGCAAAAAATTAGACATCCAAGTACACATGTCACAACTATATCACTCCATCATTTAATGATAAATTTTTATTTATATATGTGTAAAAACTAAAAATAAGAGTAAAATAATTTGATTTGTTCGGCCAGTAAATAACTTCAATCTTCCCTCAAATTTTGGCATATACTTGGGTTAGGTAGTCATTGATTACTTAATATTTCAATTTTCTTTCCCAAGTTTGTTGTAATGCATCTCATGTTTAAGTGTTTAACATATTAGGCCACTGATATGAGATGACACGCACATTTTGTCAAATATACAAAACCACATATTGGGTGATTTATTTTCCTGCAGAAAGAATGAAATTGCAACCATTGATGAATTCTTACTCGCTTTCAAAATTTGAATTGCTAAACAATAATTAAATTATCGATTTCGTGATAATAATAATTCTTTAGTTGATGAAATTATTCTTCACACATGTGAAAAGATTAAAAAATTAGATTAGAAGTACCAAGTTTATTTTGTAATACAAGATATATCAACAAAGGAAATTGTCTTGAACAAAAGATCTATCAACAATACGTGTCTTCACCTTTAATACGAGAAATTTTATTTTATTTTTTGTCATTAACCGCAGAAAAAAGCAATCAGAAAGCTGTTAACCGGCCGGGCAATCAATCCACCGGGTAAACATAGTTTCAATTGAGATAAGCATTTCTATAGGCATTTTGGGACTTTGGGCTAGAGGTTTGGCACCAGATGCGGGGTTTATGTTAGCAAATTTGTCAATTACAATACCAATAAAGATTAAACTATTAACTAGTTATCAACGTAACTATACTATAACTACATATATGGTTTAACATATTATTAAATTATTTCATCATAATTAAGAGAATTAATACTTTATACCGGTGTTAAATAGTTTTTTTTTTTTTTTCATTTTCTTTGCATACGCATCTTGGAACTCAAGTATAGCATGCGATTTTATCGATAAATCTTCTAACCTTGATGAAAATTGATAATCTGCAACAAAATATAAAAAACCATCTGAACGATCTATTATATTTTTTTATATAACATAATGGTAAAAAAAAGGTTAACGTTATCATGATAAAATAAAACGTAGAGATCAATAGGGAAAAAATAGTAATAAAAAAAAAAGTATATTAAAGAAATTAAAATGAGAAAAATAGTAAGAAAAACACGTTGTGCGGGAGATTGGTTAAGAAGGAGAGTTTATAAAACATGATTAAGAATCACCTAAATCATCCTACGGCACTTCCTAAATCATCATATAAAATTTATCATATTTTCTTTATTCAATTATGACTTTCTTTTTTAAAATTATACTAGCACCCTGACCCACCTTTGGATGAACCCGTTAGGACTATGTGTCAAAATCTTGATGAGTGATGTAGGAAGTATTGTAAGATTACTGTGTAAGAGATCTTTTGTCAAAAGATGTCATGACATGAATAAAAATATTTAGAGATATCATTATGAAAATTAAGAGAATACTTTTAAAACATATAAAATTATAATTCAACAAAACAAAAAAGATGGACAAAAAGTTACATTGAATGATTTTGGATACTAAAAATTATTCCAAATATACTTAAAATAACAAAACACATTCACATGAAAAGTTACACAACTACAATTTATATCATTAATATTATTTATTTTTACAAATATCATTTCGTCAGAGATGTCATATATATCTCGAACAACCTGCACACCGTGCGGGATAAACACTAGTATATATTAAAGGAGAGGTTTCAATCAGATACATATAAATTTATAAAATATATAAATTACCAGTTTCACCCGGTTTAAGTTTTATGTCATATTAAAAGAAGTATATAGAGAGTTGTTTACGTATGGCATAACTTTAATACGTGTGTTTTTTCACTAATGACGAGTTAATGAGAATTATAAACTCATACCCGAATACACTAATCTTCATTCTACAAGGATGTATAATTTTTCTGTGTATTTCAACTATTACTAGTGTGTGTCCCGCGCTTTGCGCGGCTTTGTCAATGTTGAAAATTTATATTTCAAAAGAATTGATTAGATAATGTAGTTACAAATATACCGTCCTTATTCTCTTAAAAAATGTAGTTACTAATATTTCTTAAAACTGTAATATTTTTCTGATTAATCAGTTTTAGATCAAAATGAGAGATATTGATATTATTTATGAGAGGTATATTTGTAAGATCTGGTAAAAAATATTACAACAAAGATTTTCAAAAGTTGTATAATAAAAATTGTCACCACTAACTAATGTTATGTTTGGTTTAAAAAATATATTTAAAAAATGCGTAAATTATGTCTGGATGCATATGGCCTATTTTTATAGGTAAGTAGACTTTGGGGATTAGATGTAGTTCTAATAAAATATGAGACACAATTAATCGTCCTTGAAAATATAAAATCGATAAACTTGAAAACTAAATAGTACACAAATGGAACTTTAAGGGCCAAAATGACAATAGGTTGAAAGTTTAAACTCGTAAATGAAAGGACTTTTGAAGTCGGGAGTTTCTTAGCAATTTTAAAAAATATTCATTTTCAAGCTCACAATCAGGAATTTGTAATATCTGTAAAAATCTTATATACTCCCTCCGTCCCACAAAAATAGTCCAGTTTGAAACTGTACAACTTTTTTAATTTGGTCAATACACCAAATGTACAACTCATTTCATTCTCCTAACTTCCATTAATGCTCTTCTAGCTATTTCTATAAAAGTTAACTACATATGCATTTATTTTACAACTTAAATTTGATCAAAATTTTTATCTCAAAAAATATTGACAATGGATCTTGATGGAAAGATCTCGTTACGTAGATTAATTTGATATATAACACATTTTTTTAATTATTCATGTATTAAAAGATATAATCATTTGAAAAAATAGTAGAAAACTAAAAAAAATAAAAATAAAAAGAAGTGGACCTTGTTTTTCATACCACTACTCTTTTGGATATTTAAGTCATTTCAATTCAATGAATTTTGACTTTTTAAACTGGACTATTTTTTTAGGACAATATTTTTTTATTAAATTAGATTATTTTTGTCGAACGGAGGGAGTACTAAATAATTTATTAACTGTTTATAAAAAATTTTAACTGATTAATGATGAACCAATTAGCAAATGAGACGTGTTAAATTGAGATTTGATGGTCTCAAAGAGCGATACGTGTCGATTATCTTTCTTTCCTTTAATATATAATATATAATGATTACCAAGTATATAATCCACATATGTAAACAACTTGAAAGCTACATGCCTACGTAGATACTACTATTACAACCAAACAAGGGAAAATAAAGAATCATGCAAAAATGCCCATTAATTATACATAATTTAAGCAATGCGTAATCAATTCCAGTAATTATAATTAAACAAATATTAGGAGAAACAAAAATATCAACGGGAATATAATAAGATTTATAAATCACACATCTGTTTAATTAGATTCGGCCATATATATTTATGCATATGGATGGTTAATTAAATATAACACAGCGGTAAATAATAAACAAAAAGAGATCGAATCATTACAGCAAACATAATTATTATTCTACTTAACACAAAAGTTGCAAGGAGGCTGAAAAAAATAACTAAAGAATAATAAAAACAGACTCACCAGTCCAAAAAATACACTTCCTACCACAAATTATTCTACTTGATTGATATATATATTTTTTCGTATGATACACTTCCTTACCACTAAGTCCAAAGAATTCAATTAGGTCTGGAGACTTAGGATAAAAAAACATAATAATAATAAAAAACTGTGAAATTAAGCAAGTACCTCAAAGTAAGCAAGTACCTCAAAAAATTGTGAAATAACAATCAAAGCCAATAAAACCATGTCAGAAAATGTTGAGCTTTTTGTGAATTAAAGAAAAAGAACAACTGGAACCCAGACAATTTCTATCTTTGGAGATCAAAGGAACACAGTTCTATTTTAATCTCTAACCTGTTTAGCAGCCTTTCCACCACCAAGACCAAAGTATGGTTTCTCGGAACCTCTGCCCTACTTCTTGTATTGCCTGTTAAATTGAATCATTGCGAGCAATTAACATCTCAACAAAAACAAAATGTATGTATTCTTCCATAAAAAAACTTCGGGGTTAGTGTCGACTACAGCTTTTTATTTTTATTTCATATACATAACCAAGAGCGAGTATTGAACCTTTTCATTATGAAGACCGACATCTTCAAATGCTGCGAATGCATCCGCAGACAAGACCTCTGCCCACTGCAAATAGATTCACCAACAAAGGGAAAAAGGTCAGGACGATTCGGGCTCAGAAAAGTTTCAGAGAGACCAGCTGAAAGAGAAACCAGTTGAGTATATTGTAGTAGTATACAATACCTTGTAACCGTAATAGCCAGCTTCATAACCACCCACAAATATGTGAAAGGAAACGTAAAGATTCCGATTAAAAGGTAATGAAGGAGACACTTTATGTAATTCTATGATCCTGTGTTCCATATCAATGATTGATTCAACTCAAGGTCAAGCCTTGAAAGTGCCAACTGAAACATTGTCAGAATCAGTAGATAGTTATAACGGTATTACGAAATACATCCCCGAGTTGAAGATCAGATGCTATGGAAAAGATAAATTAAAAAAATTCCCTTGTCCGAGACCGCTATAAGGGTGAAATAAAAGCATGACTTCTTAGTGAACTCAATACAAAACCTGGTTGAGAAATTTACTGCCAGCAAGAAAAGTTCTAGCAGCAAGAAGCTTCTCGTACAAACTATCTGGAAGTGTATTTCCTGATTCATAATGCTTTGCGATGCTCATCAAGGTATCCCTGAAACAAATCATAAACCAAATTTAGTCCAATTATCGGCAACTTACAACAACCACTTATCTAATAATTGCTCGGAGAGTTGAGAAAAATCAGTAAAACAAAAAAAAAATCGTCTTTCTAAAGAGGATAAAAACCACAAAAGCCACAACAAGGAGAGAAATGAGATAAGTGGGATGACAAAATAAAAAAGAAAAAAAAATAATTTCAATTTGGCTTGTACTAGTTAAGTTACTCAGCCTGCTTCATTCAATCTACCTCAAACAAAAATTCCATCCGTCTCCAAAATAATAGTCCACTTTGAGTTTGAAATTTGTACTAGAAACAGTACAAAAATAAAAACCCAATGTGGACTATTTTTTTGGGATTGAGGTAGTAAAATTTTTTGAAAAAAAAAGATGGAAACTAATGCATATATATATATATCAAAAGTTTAATTTCACAAAATACAACAGACAGACACAAAATGCTATTAACGGACTATATATACATATACACACACAAAAAGATACCTGTGATTACACCAATATTCCAAAAATTGGGAGGGTAGTTCCATAGCATCATGCTCGATGTGCCTCGAACCAGCAACAATGCCCTCGTCTTCTCTTGTTAGCATGTGCTGAAGGGCATGACCAAATTCATGGAAAACAATCTTCACCTTCATTTATAATGAGAACCGCAGACATTGACAGAAGTTTACATTAGTAATAACACCCTTAAGACACCCGGAACTAAAAGTGTAGAAGGAGATCGTGTGAGAGCTTACTTCCTCTAATGTCAAGAGACTAGGCTTGTTTCCCATAGGAGACATCAAATTGCACCCTATATGTGCAACAGGTAACCTAGGAGAGATTCCATTTAGGTGACATTACGCGACTGCGGTTGAGAATAGGAAGCATCCAAGCACCTTGCTGCTTTTCAGATGGTCGAGAATATGGATCGAGATAAAAAAAAAATGCAATGGGAGAACCTGAAGAATCTGTGACACGATAAAATTTGACATCTTCGTCCCAGACCTAAATGCCGATGCATATTAGAAATGAATTCAACGATTGTCTTGGTATTAATATTGATAAGTTAGTGGAGGTAAGAAATGACTGTCTTACAGGAACCAAACCATCAGCAGCTTCAATCTTGATTCCAAATAACATATTTGCAAGGTTGAAAAGGCCCTCCATCACTTTAGGAAATGAAAAGTAAGGACGAAGCTCTTCCTGCAAATATAAAACGCTAATGAAGTGAAGCTCGTCAAATTGATACCTAAAAATACACACGACACACAGATTTTTGGATTTTAATCAAGAATCAAGGTTGTTAGCAATAGTAATTCTCTAGGGCAGCACCACCAAGCAACTTCTACCACATTCTTCTTATTCTTCTTCTTCCTATCCTTACTCTTTAATTTTATCCATCAACAATCAAATGATTTTTGGAAATAGAGAAAAACTTGCAAGCATTTGAAACAAATGGTGTTGGTCAAACCTCATTAAATTCCAAATTTTGATTCCCGGAGCCTCTTAGACCAAAACAATGTGTCCCAGGGTTCCAGATTATCAGCTTCTGGGGCACCTTGACTTTTAGCGAATTGTTTGAGGTTTTCCATCTCTATAAAATGAAAATGACAAAAATTAGGAATGAAACATTTTCTTATAAACGAACCCTGTAAAGCAAGCAGCATATGCACAAATTTAGATGATGCGCGCTTCTTGTCCTTATGAGGTTCAACAAGCACTTTGTTAGCTCAGAGATAATCATGCAACAGTTGAACACACCATAAATTAAGTACCTTGAAATGCAGCATCCAAGGATACAGTTCTAAGCTTTTCAAGGAGCTCCATTGCGTCGTCTAAACTAGCCATCTTCCCTTCCATGCGTAGCTAGAGAAAAAAATACCCTTAACATATTTTTCGTCAACATATATAGATGTTAATGAAATCCTTTAGTCAAAACAACATACCTCTGCATAATTGGTATAGCCAACAAGCTTAGCCATTCTCCTGTCTAAGTGTTATATAATTTGATCAATTATAGTCGTATTATCCGAGTCCCCACTAGCAGCACGAGTTACATAAGCAAGGTATAGTTCCTTCCTTATGTTTCGATTTCTAGCATGTTCCATGACAGAATCATAACTTTGAGAATCTAACGTAAGAACCCGCGGCCCATTTTCAGCAGTTGCATTTTTATGTCCCTGTAATACATTCAGAGATCGATCATCAATACTAATAATCAAGAACCGAATCAACTGACATACATATAGAAAAGTAAGATCTCTCCCACCTTAGAGACCGCTGTTTGGGCGGCCAACTCAAGAGCTGTAGAGGTCAATCCTTCAATATCGTTCTTGTCTGTGATTATTTTTTCAAACTTCTTAGTAGAATCCAACATGTTTCCGAGAAACTTTTGAGATAGTTTAGCCAATTCCTTCAAAATGGAACCAAGGTAAAGAAAAGCTTAGAAGCTGAATTTATTTGTACAGCTAAAAGCGGCTTAAATAAATGTTAGTAATTCAAAATCTTTTAAGAACAAAAAAAGGCACAAAATGTCTACAAGAATAACAGTTAGTTAATACCTGGTTAATCGCGTTGAATCGATCTCTTTTATCACCTTCAAGAGCAATGCCTTCGTGAACTGCTTCCCTTATCCGCACTGCAAAAAATTACATTGAGAAATGTCCTACTCATACCTGTAATCAGTTCAAATAATGATAGTACACAAACCATTCAAAATGCGCAAAAAAGTGTAACAATAGTTTTTAATTAGGGGATACGTACAGTCAATGATCCTCTTTCGAGCATCACTCAGCGAGTCCCAACTCGGAGATTCCCGAATAGCTCGCTAAGCATCGTGCAGGGGCTTACTCTGATCAAATTTCAGATAAAGCCCACGTATAGATGGCTGCATGGGAGAAAAACGCAAAACGTGCACATCTATTATATGATCAATACACAAGAAATAAACAAAGATACATACTGCTTGCTCTGTCTCAAAATTATTATTTAGTTTGAATTTCCACTTTTAGTTTATTGTACTATTTCTTAGAACAATCACACTAGAAAGGAGAGCCAAAACGCAATTAGAAAGAAGAAAAAAAAGAAAAAGAAGATAACATAAAAGAGTTGGACCTGCACATCTTCAATGGCTTGGCGTAGTTGAGGAGTATTCTTCACCATTTTTGGAGGTTGAATCAATGTATTTAGAAACCAAAACCAGGGGGTCCACGATTTTTTTTCCAGAGGTTCCACCAATTTGGGCCATGTTGGTTCTACGGTACGCTCCAGTTCCTCAAATTCTCGCTCCTAACGTCAGATCAATTCGTTCATATATTTGTATTTTGTTAAATCACGATAAACAGAAAGAAAAGAAAATAAATGAAAAGAAAAAAAAAAATCGCTCCTGGAAAATTGAGGTAAAACCACACATGCAGCTGTTATATATGCAGTCAACGAAATTACTTACGAGTTGGGTTAAGAGGGCTCGGACGCCGGGGCCGATGTGATGAGCCTGAACTTTTTTTTTGTTTCATTTTTTTATGGTATTTTTAAATTAAAATATTAATAACTGTCCTATCTCAATTTATCTTTTTATATTTTCAATATATTTTTTTTCATTTTCAATATAAAAAACACCTAAAAGCACACACTAAAAAACTGACACAAACATACCCTGAATTTCGTCGTAAGGTGGGAACTGGAAATCTTTCTGAATCGGATTATTCTTGATATCTTCTTCATCACCTCCACCGGGAGACATGTCGCACTGAAATCCTCTTGCTGGGAGAAAAGGTAATTCAAGCTTTGTTCAAATTTGCTTGGACGATTGACAACTAGTATTTGATCAGCGCCAACGTTGTACCTGGACTTTTTGTAGTTGTAGTATCTGAGTTTGACTTCTGTCTGCTGACTTCTATTTGAGCTATGAGACGTCTGTCACATCAGATGAGGACAAATACCAAGATTTGGTCCCGTGACATGCACGAGGTACAATTTCTTTTTTTTGATCGATGTGATTTATTTCTTTATTTTTTATCTTTTCCAGCAAACAAGCGATTTGATGATATATAAAAAGCTCAGATATTGTATCATTAATTTATTTAATAATTTTCCATCGTATTAAAAAGAACCAAATTGGATTTTATCCCCTTTTTTCGCTGTTATACATGGTACATGGATTATTTTTTTTGGACGGAAGGAGTATATAATAATCTACAGTTATTGTAACACGTATCTGCTCCATCGTCATTCGTAAACTACATTTCCAAGCAAAACCTTTCAATAAATATTAATACTACTTTTGTCTCATAAAAATAGTACACATTGAGTTAATGTAGAATATTTTATGGGATGGAGAGAGTAATAAATAAAATATCGTATATTAATTGATGCATATAAACTTCATCACTTTGATATCTCTACCATTTCACCTTTCCTCTTGCTCCCCTGGTATAAAAATCATTATTTTTCAATCTTACTCCAAATTCGCCACTACCCTGTTGGTAGCTCTATCATCAGTATAACTGCTTCGTGGGAAGAATTTTTCTTTCCTCGACAAAAAAATAAAAATAAAATAGAAGAACTTCTCCAAATATTCTTAAGTTTTACTGTAAACAGTGCAAGATAGACTTATCATCGTATGCGATAAAAGTTGTGTACCAGGCTACGAAAAATAACTGTGTTAAAAAGTCCAAAGTTTCCCAAAAAGAAGTATCACGTAAAAAGCTTTTATCCATCAATGGAGAAGATACAGAATGAACCAGGTCCTTCTACCCTCCAAAACAACTCAGTTCCTTTTATCTTTTTTTCTTCTTTTTCCCCTTTCTTTCGTTCAGGAAAAGTGCACATCCCATTTCACAGGCATTTAAACCACCATCAGTATGCCTAACTACTAATCATGCTGTGGCTGCAGCTGCCAACAACCCGTTGTGCCTAAGCAGCGCCTCTGGTGAGGGTTCTCTGCCTCTGAATTCCACAAAAACCTGGACAATGATCCAAGTGGTTAATAACCAAGCGTTTTGTTGAATATTGACAGAAAAGCAATAGAAGGTTTCTGTATGGACTCAAGTTGAAGATTATCAAACCTCTAGTGGAGCTTTTCCACCACCAAGAGCAAGTATAGTTTCCCGGAACCTCTTCCCAGTATCTTTCACTGCCTGCTCAAGGAAACAAGGGCGCAGTATTACTCAAGATGCCAATGCCATGTGATTTTCTTCTGAAAAGAACTCCATTTTACAATTCAGCATTCTTAGCAGAAGCAAATATATTACCTTTTCATCATTTAGTCCAACATCTTCAAATGCCGAGAAAGCATCCGCTGACAGTACCTCCGCCCACTGAAAGGATTCAAACATAAATATAATCACATACTCTCCTTCAACATATCACTCGAGGGAAAATAGCATGGTGACCTGAATGGTCCTCTACAACCTATACAGATTAATATTGTAAACACAATTTAAAATCTTCCCGATGGGAAAACCAATCAGATCTGCGCATACCTTATAGCTATAGTATCCAGCTGCATATCCACCAGCAAATATGTGGCTGAAACTGCAAAGGAATCGATCCTCTGGAAGTGGAGGAAGCACAGAAGTTTTCTCTGAGATCCTACGGTCAACATCATAAATTGATTCTGAACTGCCGGGGACATACTTAGTGTGCAACTCAAGATCAAGAGTTGCAAATTTCAACTGAAAATAAATGTTATGTAAGCCCAAACGTCATAAAAAGATCATAAAAGCTTAAATCTTCAATATAATAAAGCTTGGAATCAGAAAATGACAAAACATCAAGGTGGCGACGAATAATATAGAATATATACGCAGCCTGCAGACCTACCTGACGGAGACTAAGAGAGCCAGCACGGAAAGTTCTAGCAGCAAGAAGTTTTTTGTAAATGTCTTCAGGTAGATTCTCTCCAGATTCATAATGCTTGGCAATGCTCATTAAGGTATCCCTGCAAAGCCATAACAGAGAAAAACAATCCGTAAATCTCGTAATAGCACCATGCAGCAAAAAGAGCTCGAAGCATGAATAAGATAACATAATGGCCTTCCTACAATCAGCTAATCCAGATTTTATTCATTTATTAACAGATTAAAAGTTTGCTTCCCAAGTGATGCTTTCTTTGTACTACGATATTCACCTTGTAAAACACTACAAATATATTTGACCAGAAAAGTTAAGAAAAAGACTTGTCTGAATTCCATATTAGTTGAGGAAGAACAAGAACAGCCTTCATCCAGTACATGGCTTAGCAATGGATCACTGTGTATGCTATTCTCAACCTAAAACAATTCCTAAGAAAGGCGACACAGTTAATGCTAGTTCTAAAGTTAACAGAATCCTCTCTTCAATCCAGTACATGTCTGGCCAGGCAGAAAATAACACATGCCTTTTTTTTAAGAGTATAAAGTATATATTTTAAAAAGTCCAGGCGAACAAACGGTAATTAGAAAATAGCATAGTATCACTTATTATCAACTTGATGAAATGAAGATCCTTTCGTTTCATCTTTATATTATTCTGAAGCATAAGTTGACACAAACCTTTCAATAATGGAAGCAAAGTGAAAGCAATTGAAACCAAGTTCAATTATGAAGAGAAGACAAGAAGAATGAACAAAAAGTACCTATGATAGCACCAATTTTCCATGAATTGGGAGGGAAGTTCCACAGCATCCCATTCAACATTCCTAATACCAGCAACCAAACCCTCATCTTGTTTTGTAAGCATGTGCTGAAGGGCATGGCCAAATTCATGGAACACAGTCTCCACCTACACAACATAAACGAGAATTGTGTAATTAACGAGCCTTCTATATTAAAAAAAGTAAATCATATGAATTAGAGCTGAAAGAATGAACTTACCTCACGGAATGTCATAAGGCTGGGTTTGTCGCCCACAGGAGGCATCTGATTGCACACCATGTGCGCAACAGGTAGCCTAGGAGAGGCACCATCACGAGACAAAACACGACTCCGGCCAATAACTTCATCCATCCAAGCACCTCCACGTTTTTCAGATGGCCGAGAATAGGGATCAAAATAAAAATATGCAATGGGAGAACCAGATGAATCATTCACACGATAAAATCGGACATCATTATTCCAAACCTGAACACAAAAATGCATATCGGTAAACAAAGGTAAGTATGAATGAGTGCAATGGGGGAAATTAAGGATATCACTGAATCTTACTGGAGCTAATCCATCAGCAGCCTCAATATTGATGCCAAACAGTGTCTTGGCAAGGTTGAAAAGACCATCCATAACTTTGGGCAAAGAAAAGTATGGGCGAAGTTCCTCCTGCAAGCACAATAACAAGACAACAAGCTCAGCTTTTCAAATAGATTAATCATAGTATGCATGCCTCACTACAAGTGAATCTCACTAGTGGAATGTGGAATGGACACGAAATAAAGATACTGAAAAGGCTACAATCTGACTTAGTTTACCAGATATCCTGGAACAGATTACTGACTTGACATGATGCTGAAACTCAAGTAACCAAAAACCCCAAAGGAAAACCAAACATGTACACACGCACAGAAGTTGAGAGATAGAGACAAAAAGCACCTCATTAATTTCATATTTTGACTCACGAAGTCTCTCGCTCCAAAAACCGACATCCCAATGTTTCAACTCATCAGCTTCTGGAGCACCTTGACTTTTAGAGAATTGCTTAAGGTCTTCCATATCTATATCAAAGCAATAGGACCATCTTTATGTCAAACTCAAATTCAGTACAGTGAAACCAATCAAGCCAAGTAAAAAAAGTAGAAAATGACGTGTTGAACACCTTGAACCGCAGGATCCCAGGAAGCTGTTCGAAGCTTTTCAAGGAGTTCTAGTGCCTTCTCAACTGTAGCCATCTTGGTTGCCATGCTTACCTACAAAGCAAAGTATTCTACTTCAGCCAACCTTCTATCAAGATGAATTTAAAAAGAGGGTATCATTCTTTCTATAAACATTTATACAGAAAGAAAATAGTCCAACATTATACCTCAGCGTAATTGTTATAACCAAGAAGCCTAGCCTTTTCTAACCGAAGCTTTAAAATTTGATCAATTATAGCTGTGTTATCCAAATCTCCACTTGATGCACGCGTCACATAAGCACGATAAACTTCCTCCCTCAAGCTCCGGTTTTTAGCATGTTGGATAACTGATGTAAAACTTGGAGCATCCAATGTAATAACCCACGGCCCATTTTCAGCAGTAGCATTTTCATGTCCCTGTAACACTTACAGTAATTAGGACATGTGCTAAAAGGATTCACATGACTGTCGGGAAAGGTAAAAAACAATACCTTAGACACTGCTGTTTGGGCAGCCAAACCAAGAGCTGTAGCTGGCAATCCATCTACATCCTTCTTATCCGTAATTAACTTTTCATATTTTTTTGTGCCATCCAAAACATTCTCCTCAAACTTTTGAGACAACTTTGCCAAGTCCTAAAGAGAGTAGAAGGTAAACAGAAAGTACCTCAGATTAAGATACCGAAACTCTATGATCAAGGGCAAAAAACTAAAGAACCTAACATTGAAAAAACACAAATTCTGTAACTAGAGGAGCTTATACCTGTTGAATCTTGTTAAATTGGTCTCTCTTATCATCTTCGAGAGCAATACCACTCAAAACAGCCTCCTTTATATTTGCTGCAGAAATAAAAGAGCCGCTATTATTTTATTTTATTTTTGATAAACTAAGAGCCATTATTGTTGAATGAGCTATTCCCATTTCAAGAGGTAATTCCTACAATTATCTTTCAAGCATTAATACTTTACAATAAAAGCAAAAGAAATAAGATGATAGGTTTGTAGGCTGTAGCCTTACATTCAACAATTCTCTTTCGAGCATCACTCAGGGAATCCCAACTAGGAGAATCTCGGATAGCTTTAAATGCATTATAGATGGGCTTACTCTGACCCAATTTCAGCTCTAATGCAACTTTTTCCGGCTGCAGGTTCAAATTCGTCAACACATTAGCACGACATGTTATATAATGGACCAACTTTCCCCGAAAGGGATACCATAATTTTGCAGTTTTTTCTTAGAACAAAGAAATAGTCAATCATGCAACAAAAATCATGGGCAACAACAAATGGGAACAGATTGGTCGTACCTGCACTTCTTCAATAGCTGCCCGAAGTTCGGCAGTATCTTTCACCGACTTCAGATGATTAACAGCTCCCCAGACCACACTCAATCGGTCGACGATCTTTTCCAGAGGCTCCACCAATTTTGGCCACGTAGGCTCCACGGTACGCTCGAGTTCCTCCAATTCCTCTTCCTGCAAAATAAATAAATAAATTCCTTATCCATCAATCATCACCCCAAATCAAAGAACAGAACAAGCCATCACGGTACCAGTCGCTTCAACAAAGCACGGATGCCGGGTCGAACATGAGAAGCTTCAATAGCATCGAACGGGGGAAAATCAAAATCCTTCAACAGCGGGTTATCATTAGAACCGTCGGCGGCCATTCTTTCGGAGGCGGTGGAATTAGCGGAGGCGAACGATCGGACGGCGGTGGTTGACTTAGTGGCGGTGGCGGTGGCGGTGGGGGTGGTTGACCAGTGAAGAGTATTCAAGCAGAGTGAGAAAGAAGAAGACCAGAGAGGACAAAGCGGGGATTTGTTGAGATGTTTGGGGTTAGAATTGGAAAAGGAAACTGGGTTCCGGTGGTTTAGGCAGAAAGGGTATAAGAAACGTGGTGGGGAAGAAGCATAGGAAGAGTGAAGGGAACGAGACAGAGAGCAGGAAAGGCGTGAAGCCATGAGTATGGTTAACACTATAATAAACAGGATTGAGCCATAGATGGCTCGGATTGGTCTTGTTGATGGGCAGCAATTTCGGTGAGATAAGGGTAGTGTCGTCATTCTCCTATTGTTGTTGATGTTTCTATTCCATCTTGGATTTGGATTGGGGTTCATAGTTCATACTAGCTTTGATTTTTTTGAGGATGGGTGGGTGATTCTCTAATCTAACCTTTTTTTTTCAAGTTTCTATAAGTTTTTCAACTAAAAGGTGTTGAAAGACTTAAAAGGCGTAGCTTGGACTACTATATACTACTACACATCCAGATTTATGAGTGGAAAAGAGGGTTTGGTTGATTTAATTGGTGGTTCCATTTGGGAATAAATTAGTGAGTTGATTATGATATTTTAATTGCTTCATCGGATAGCAGGCTGATGTTAAACCTTTTGCCTAATCTAACCTTTTGTGATTTTATATTAAACATGTCAATTCTTTAACTTTTGGTTCACATTTGTCATGAATTTTAACTGCTTCATTAGGTAGCTTGCTGATGGTATACTTCCTTTTATCCCGAAAATTAATATATATTGAGTTTTGAGATTAAAACTCAATGTGAACTATTTTCTCGGACAGAAATAATATTAAATACAGTATATCGAACTTGAAACTATGGCAATTTGTATTCCATTTCTCAAACTAGTCAAATGTTGTATTCCATTGCCACTCATTGATACGTTGCCCTTCCAAAATGAGGTGAGACTCCTATGCTCTATTAGGTTTAGGTTTTTTCCAATTCCAAAAGAGGGGTCTTTGACAAACACCACAACTGGAAAATTGATTCATTTGCTCAATCACGAATCCCGGTTGGTGGAAGTTTAGGAGGTGCTTGGTTCATAATTTCGGTGGATTTGGGAATGATAGAAATTGAGATTCATTTCAAACAAAAAATGATAGAAATTAAGATTCATTTCAAACAAAAATTGTGCAAGGTATGAAATCTCCAATACAATTACTTGGTTAGTGCTAATACTAACATGGGAATGGATATCAAGTTTCATTTTTATCCCCTCTTCCCATAGCTCTATCCATCTCTGTTCTCTGAATCTCAAAGACTTAAACCATAAATTTTTCAGAAAGAAAAACATTACTTTATCACCAATAAATTTTCTTATGCAAAATTGTAGGATTTTACAATCATTATTTAACTCATTCGAGATCTAACACTTCAAGAAACAAAAGAAAAAGGAAATATACAAGAAAAAAAGAATTCTAGAAAAACTACATAATTAACCCCCAAACTCTAATTCGATAAATCGAATAAAATGGTCTCATTGAGAGTAGGGTCTCAATTTTGGCGGTATCAACATGAAAAAGGATCAAATTAGCACAAAAAGTTGATTTGGTGGATAAAAGATTAATAATAGGATCTCAATTGTTTTGAAGAAGAAAAAATTAATGAGGGTGGCAGCGGCGGAGCGGAGGAAAAGAACAGGAGGGGGCTGAAGATGGGAGTAGGATCGGTAGAGACTGGAGAGAAGCAGAAGAAATGAGGAAGAAGAAAATAGGAGAACAAGGGTGTCAAGAGGAGAAGGGAAAAAAAAAAAGAATAAAAATCAAAGAGAGGATAAAATGAGAAAAGATGAGCATAACCTCTAATTTTGCAGGGAATGATAGATGGACTATTATTGGTATTAAATCCATACGTGTGGGCCCGAATCTGATGAACCAAACACTTTCAAAAGGATGTGAAACCCATAAAAAAGATACCATACCCTCCCCTTCCCCCCAACCAGGCACCCCCTTTTTTAATAATGCAACACCAGGGGTGCTTGAATGCATCAATTTTCATCGGTATTATACTAAGAGCAAATCAGCATAAAATAATGATTTCATGAAGGGGGATCAAAATGGTTTGTTGCTTTATTAATAACACTTCTAATGTACATATACAGTTCAGTGGGATTTGAAGATTTGAAATATCACTCCGGAAGCTCTCCCAATTTTCGTCATCGTACTAAAGAAGAATATCTCATCTCAGATTGCACATGGTACCTGTTCCATGGAAAATAACAACCAGTAAGACAAAAAAACTGAAAGGAAGTGAGAATGGCATCTTCACTACGTGTGTTTTTACTTATTTGTTATGCAAATTCAGCATGAATGCGAATGCAGGCGTGGCGTGTTTGCTTCATTGACATGCAACACTAAGAATAAGTGTCGTTGAAGAAGTGTCGCTTGTTTATTGCAACCAATGAATCACAGAAAATTTTTCTCTTTTTTTTTTAAGCAAAAATCATTTGGATGCTCAATGAACGTATTCAGTAATGGAAACTACGGAACAATCATTCTCTCACCTGGATGGCAAGCAAATTCAGATTTTCATTTTTTGTACTTCATTGTTTCCTTCTCAAATCCAATGGTTGGGAATTGTTTTGCATACTCCTCCACATCATGACGAAGTTTGGCTATCTCAGATTGGAAAGCAGCAGACTCCATAGTGGTGACAAAGTCTTTCAGCTTTGTCCCTGAATCACATTAAGGAAAGACATTCAGCTTGGGTTAGATAAAAACTATTCAAGGGAAGTAAGCCAAAAAGACTACAGCAACAAAGTATTACTACAAATGAAAACAAAACTATTTATTTGTGCAGATTACTTCAGAATCTTAGCAGATTATATACAGAGAAGAGCAACTAATGAGCACAACATTTTAGTGTTCCGTGTAAGTACATCAAGCAGAACAGTTAAAGGGAATATCTTTCCTTGGATGGTGTACAGGTGAACCAAAGATATATCCACCGTACCTTTAGTCTCAGATTTTATCTTTACAGACAATTTCACAGCAGCATCAAAGAACTCAGCAACTTTTGCAAAATCCTCTTCCACAAATCCCCTAGAAGTAAGAGCAGGAGTTCCTAGCATATAAAGTTTCAAGATTGTTAGTTCAATGCATACAACTAGAAACCGATTGGACAACCGAAAGAATTTCAATAATTTAGAACAATACCCATCCTGATGCCACCAGGAACCATGGCAGAAACATCTCCAGGAACTGTGTTCTTGTTAGCTGCAATGTGCACAGCCTCTAACACTTTCTCAACCCTGGAACCATCAATACCCTGTGGAAGGTGGATTATTTTATGACATGATGGAATCAGTAACTGTAAAATTAGTTCAAATCCATTTTTAAAATTAGTAGCGTATCAATGCATCTTCCATCAAAAGCATTACCTTGTTTTTAAGGTTCACCAAAACTAAGTGGTTGTCAGTTCCACCTGATACAAGTTCATACCCGTTCTCAGCCAGTGTCTACAGAACCAACCAAGCTTTAGTTTTTAGGAAGAAAAGCATAGTACACTATGAAGCCGCATGTCAGTGAAGTATAATATGGTGAAAATATCGTATGAATTCCCGGTTGAAAGACGCAAGAGTCAGACCTGGGCGAACTTTGCACAGTTACTAAGCACTTGCTCTTGGTATGCTTTGTACTCTGGTGTCGTCGCCTGCAAGTAAGATAAAATAATGAACTGGAATCTACATCCTCTCAAATCTTACAAGTGATGAATACAAAGTAATATTCTTTGCTTAGAGAGGTAATCAAACATTGCCCAGCAGAGACCAATGTGTAAAGTCCATCCAGGCCATTATCATAAATAGTTGGTTTTGAAAGGTCTTAAATCATCAACTATATCAACCATCTATCACAACAATTTCAACAGATACATGAAATCTCATACACAACTTCAATGTTGGCCTACCTGTTTTAGCGCAACCGCCAAACCAGTAATAGTGTGGTTGTGAGGACCACCCTGAAGTCCAGGAAAGACAGCCTGGTTGATTTTGTCCTCATAATCATACAGCACCTACAAACAAGCCAAAGATTGTCAAGTAAACATATTCCAACCCAAACTAACATAAGAGGCTAAAGCTTTCTATCTGGTCTCTAGCTAAAATTTACAGAATGATAGAAGTACCTCTTTGCCCTGTTTAGTTGTTTCTTTGACACCCTTTCTAAAGAAAATCATGGCACCACGAGGTCCCCGGAGTGACTTGTGGGTTGTTGTGGTCACAACATCTGCGTAGTCAAATGGAGAGGGAATGACACCAGCAGCAACTAATCCACTGATGTGTGCCATATCTGCAAGCATGATAGCTTTCTGCTTGTCACAGACCTATCAAATGCAAAACAATAAGCGTCAAGATACTTTCAGCCAAGTCCTCAACTTGTTCCCAGATTATGAAAAGTACTCTCCTGCGTAATATTTGTAGGCTTACCTTCCTAATACGTTCATAATCATAGAGACGAGCATAAGCACTAGCACCAGCAACGATCAACTTTGGCCTGAAAAGTGTTGCACTTTTCTCTAGCTGCATATCAGATATCCACAATCAATAAATCTTGCTCTAATATTAAACCCAAAACAAGTCGGGAAATTTTCACTTCACTCAACTTAAATTGAACAGGAATATCTTCGTAGTGTGGCGATTTAAGATAGTCTAATCCTTCAATGTGGCATTTAATTTACATTATCATGTTTTCCTAAAAGATCAGGATTTGTCTGCTTTTAGCAAAATCATGACCGAAATGTACTTCTACATCAACATAACTTCAAACTGCACGATTTGTAACCATAGCAATAGAATACAGAACACTATATAAATCCGTTGTATGAAGTTTATTTTGGAGACAACATTATACTCAAAGCTTCACCTTCAATCAGTAAAATTAAGTTCATCGATACTGAAGATTACAAAAAATTAGAGGGATAGGGATGCAACAAGGAGACAATTCATGACTTGTCAAACAGATAGATAGGACCATTATAAAAAGAACTGCACCTGGTCATAGTCAATGTAGCCTGTGCTCTCATTCAATCTGTATGGCATAGTCTCAAAAAAGATGGAAACAGCAGATATCTTCTTTGTGTCAGTCTGCGGGAGTTCAAAGAGAATTTCATCAGTCCAGATTCATGTCACTCTAATTAAACGACTTATTAACCAAGTGACCTGTTCACAACACATAAGAAATGCTATATAGAGTACATCAGGAGATACCTGGTATCCATGGGAAAGATGCCCACCATGAGGAAGATCAAGCGCCATAATTCTTTCATGAGGTTTCAATAGCGCAGTGTAAACGTGAAAATTTGCTGGAGACCCTGATAGGGGCTGGACATTAACTGCATAAGGAATATGAGTCAAAACAAGTTTGATTCCACTACTCCATTATATGAGTCAGCAATTTCAGGGCTTAGACCAAATGAAGTTAAAATAATGACTACACCCTGCCGAAATTCTCCAAAACTCATTTTTACAATTAAAAATAATAATTTATCAGAAACATCATTCTTCACCTCAAAGAAACTTTAGAATATCAGGAAAGTATAACACAACGGTTTTCACTTCAGCAATATAACTTCAGAATGACTGAGTGATGTGGAATGCACAACTCCAAAACATTCTGACAACAGTCTACTTTTTCATCACTATGATTAATATTAATATTTTGGATACTCCTCAATTAAACTTGCAGTCAAGTGCGGTTACCTCCCCATTTGGCAGGATCCAACCGAAACGCTTCTAGAGCACGCTTTTGGCACAGTGTTTCAGCCATGTCAATGTATCTGAGAAAAAAGTATGCAAGAAATCTTTTAGAACTAGAAAACCGTAGGTAGGGGAAGTGGAACATGGGAGATATTAGTCCTTCAAACACTACAGCTATCTGTAGCATGTGTTTATAGTTGAACAATAATAACAGTTGAGGGGAGAAAAAAGATAGACAGAAATTGGAAGCATTGTACATACTCATTTCCTCCATAATATCTAGCACCGGGGTATCCTTCACTGTATTTGTTAGTCATAATAGAACCAACTGCTTGCATAACAGAGACAGAAGTGAAGTTCTCGGAAGGAATGAGTTCAAGTCCCTGCACAGATGGAGTAATTTGTCAAGTTCCAAAATCAGTCCGCTGATATGTTACATGTGCATACAAATTTCATTCAACTTTTCGCAGTTGCTCAAAGTGACAAGAGCCTCCTACTCCAGACAGATAGAAGTACGAAACAGGAGATGCCTTCAATCTTATAAAGAAGTTCACAAACAGTAGCATTTAAATCTTTAGTTCATTTTCAGGGCCTGCCTTTACAAAGTTTCACAAAATGGTTTAAAATTTATAATACGTCCAAAATTACGACGATAATGACTTTGTTCCGACACGAAATGGGAAACTCTGCTACAGTCGCAGGAGCAATAGAAAGATTGGAAATAACATAGGCGTCATTACATAAGGAGTATCACCTTCCATTGCCTGGCTTTTTCGAGCTCAATAATATCAGCAATTTCAGGATCAACCACATGAAGTGGAGCATTCAACTGCTTCGGCCACTGAGAAAAGTCCAAACATTATTGAAAATCAGTACAACAATGCAAATAACATTCACGAGGATTAAAACTGAATTAAAATTCTTAAAACGAATGAGGCAATGATAAGTGATAGACTAACCGTAACGCCAGGCTTTTCCTTCTCGTAAACAGCCTCATTTGGTAGAGAAGACTGAAAAAATGGCAACCAAAAAAAAAAAACAGTTAAATTAGAATTTGCAGAAATGAAGGTGCCAAAACGAATGAAAAGGAAGAAACTGAAAACCCAGAAAGAAGCAAGGACTAAAACTTTCACCATGTAATAGAGGGAGCCCCCATTGTTGTAGAGATGCTTAACCCGTTTGTCGACGACGGAAGAAAGTCGGCGAAGAGCCATAGCCATTGCCATTTTTGCTCAACCCTTTTTTTTTTTTTTGCTTCCCGTTATCTGCACATGGAAAGCAAGCCCTGCGTCCACACACAGACACACACTCGAGTTTCTTGTTTTGTTCTGAAAATTGGGATTTTTCTTGGAGGATTGGGGTTTGATTTTGGGTGGTGGAAGAAAATTGAATCATTTTTTCTGGCTTTTTGTGGCGTTATTGCGACACCTCGGATTTCCATATTTCTGTGTTTCTAATTATACTCTTTTTTTTTTAAAAAAAAAAAAAAAGAGTGAAGAAAAAGGAAAATTGCTGCTGAAGGAGACGGTCCATCTTAATACTTGTCACTCTCAAAAATCACATTTAAAAAAATTGAAAAAGATATCCTGTTATAACAATGGAGCTAAATTTACAATTTCTATCATAAAATTGAGATTTTATAATGGAAGAACGTTAAAAAAAAAAAAAAAAAAGGACGGATAGAGTGGGTTATGACTATTTTTTTATTTTTTTTATTTTTTGAAAAAAATTCTGGTTCTTGATTTTCAGAGATGATGATGGTTTGTTTTGGTTTTGGTGGTACATCAGAATGGGGATTGAAAAACAACCATGAAAGGCCTATCCGAACAAAACAAATTCTTAGCCACAAAGCCAAACTTTTAGATATACTTTGATCGTTTCTATAGTCTGTATCACCATATTTACATGTAATGTATCCCACTTTCTCCCCACATTCTTTTTTTTTTTTTTTTCCTTTCCATGAATTCATAATTTTTGCTTAGTGACTCTAGTCTTTGTGATGATGACGATGATAAACCTGGCGCCAAAAAGTAGGTACCCGCCAAAGGTGGAGGAAAATATCGGCATTCACTTATTGGACTTTTCCTTTCATGTTAAATGGACAATTTTTGTGGGCTTTCACATTGGGCTACATTGTCTTGTTGGAGATTTCGTTGTGAGGTTTTGGGTCATAAAGTTTAACAGAATTGACCAAAATATCGATTCTCTGACCCAGCGGAGATGAATTGGATTCGGCTGGTTAATCCACCATGCATCTAATGTGTCCATCACATGTTCAGTTTAATATCGTGACTAGAACACGAATTAGTTGGTGTTCTATCTTCTGTCCATTCATTGTGGTAGCAATTTCCTCTTTCCCACACAGTGTAATTGTTTCATGATCTAAGCATTTGGCTCTTTTTCTTGTACAAAAATAAAAACGAAAATGTGCAGGATAAAAGAAATGGCACTAAAGTCTAAGAAATTAAGCTGTGACTCAAATGATTTTCCTTCAAGAAATAGATTATTTAAATTAATAAGAACCTTCTTGTCTCATATCTCCCTCTGTTCCAAAATTATTGTCCAATTTGAATCTTTATTTTTATTTCAAAAAAAATCTCAAAGTGAAATCTCAAACTGAATAATAATTTTAGAACAAAGATAGTAATAATCTCATGTGTTAAACTTATTTTAGACCAGATACATACAAGGTAAATATGTGTGTACAAAGTGTTGTTTGCGTGTTGGGCCAACGAATGAAATCTTCTAGTATCATAATGCCCATTAATTAACAAGGTGGAGGGTAAGGTCCACAACCCAAAGTAGAATAGGACTAAAAGTCCCCACAATTTCATTGGTGGAGCTAGGCTGGCATGTGAGATGTCATTTTTTTACCCCCAATTTTCAATCACTAGCTGTAGCTGTTCTCCTTTTTGTTCTTTTTGATAGATGTTTGCCCTACCGCTTGCCTCATTTTGACCATACACCATTCTTTGTTTTACCTCTTATCCAAATTCCTAAATTATACGTCTTGGAATTACATATTCGATACTTGTAATCACAATCTCAAGACTCAAGTAATAATCAATATTAAAATAATAACAGACATTTCCTCCGTCCCAAAATTATTGTCTAATTTAGAATTTTACATTTAGCTCAATTTGTACTAAAAATGAAAACTCAAACTAGATAATAATTTCGGGCCGGAGGAATTACGACATTTTGCTATTTACACTATTCCTAGGCAAGACTAAAACCACTCCGTTAGTGTTCTACTATGTGTTCTCACTTTTCATCGGAGTCCATGTTGTTACCTTGGATTAATGTCTTTTAAATCTTTGCAATGGGCAAGTTCTTAATTAATTGATCCTTTATGCTCTTGCCCTTTTTGTTAGAATCTTTAACAACCGAGTCCTCTAACATTAACTATTCACAAAAGTTGGTAACAAATTGGGTGGATTGTTTTAGGTACAACAATTAGATGCCCGATACCCACATCGTCGCGATTTAAGAAGCATTAAAACTTGAAAACCAGACAAATATAATGATGCAAAGTGTAGGTATAAAGTTTTGTGTAGTCCTACGAAAAGCGCTTAACAGAAAAGATTCATCACTTCACTTTGTTGATCATATATCAACAACTACAACTACCAAACTGATTCGTTTAATCAAAAGTTGATGTTCGTATGCTGTAAACACAATCATGCCAAAATTCAGCAATTCCACCCGTAATGATGGAGGAGTAGGTCTAGTTAAAGATAATGTATTAAACAAGTTTTGAACTTATTAACGATAGCCTAAACATATTTATTAAATGCATTATATATATATATATATATATATTCTTTGATTCATCGAGTCAAACTCCTTTAGTTGATGCTTGTTCCCTCCCCTTATCATCTTTTTTTTTTTTTTTTTTTTTCTCTTCTTTTACATTACATCGCATACTTGTTTCACGCATGTCTCAACTAATTATCTTTATTCAAGTAAAATAGATATTCATCTGTAAGTAAAACTCTCCAATCAAGTATTGTTATTATCCGTGCATTTAATGCATGCACACACATGTCGGAATTAAATCCGGTCATAATTAAATTTTTTTTTTTTTTTACCATCTCAATTACTGGTTTTTTGCTTTTTAATAAACACAAACCTGTATCTTTGATTCCTTGTAGTAGTATTTAATTAGGCCGCACAAAGAAAGTGAGTAAAGTAACAATCTAAGTAATCCTAATCAATGATTAGTGTTTGTTAAAGAGCAAAATTAATGAAACAAAAAGAAGGAGCCGAAAGCGAAGATCATACAAAAAGGGTAGAGGCTCCATTGACAGAAGATAAATTCAATTATTTTATAGGCCCACAAAATGACAGATCTAGTTTTTGCAAATTGGATAGATAGAACATTTCCTACCCACTCACTCACACACACACACACACACCATTGGTCTCAATCAACCAACATGTTAAAAAGCGCACACACACACACACACACTGAGGACACGGATTCAAAGAACCCTGTCAATATTTCTCCATCTTCTTCCTTCCATAAATTCTCTCTTTTCTCTTGTGAGATTTTTCACAAACATCTGATGAACAATGGGGGGTGGTGATTTTATACCGCAAAGATTGTCCCGTAATTACTTCTCCGCCGGATGTATGTCTCCATCTTGTGTGCCGGTTCACGAAGAATATTCCAGGATAGAGATTAATGTACCGGCCGGCGCCGGCGGCAATGCTAACAGAAGAAGCAGAAGAAGGTTGAGGAAGCTGATTAAGAAGATAATGAGCGAGAGCAAGAGTATCTACGGATCAAAGCCGTTAACGTTTCAGTATGACGCCGTTAGTTACTCCCAGAATTTCGATGAGGGATGCCACCGTGATGAATATCCACGGTGTCACCAACTGTTTCCAGATCATCCTCATCGATGGCATGTACAGCAATAGTTTGTACTTATTGTTAGTAGTAATTTTGTTTATTATTAGTATTTGTGTTTTTTGTTTGATGAAATGGATCGTGTTTGATTAATTAAGATCCTCTCTGGCTAATGAAGCTAGATTACTCTGTAAAATGGTTAATTTATCATGCTATACAACCATATCTGCTTTTCAGCGGAATTCCTATGGCGATCGAGCCAACTTAATTCTTTAGATTTTACTCATTTCGTTTCAAAAAAAAAAAATGTAGTTAAATTTGTTGTATTTTACGTTCGTCATTATGTTAGTTCGATAATGGTGCGCTTAACTGATCGTGCAAGCCTGCAAGGCTAGCTAGTATCTCAATTTTTGTTTCTATTTTAAACAGTCAACAAAGAATTAATTAAGGTAACTCAACAATAATATATATATATTTTTTTAACAAAACATACTCGCTCTGTCCCATAATTATTGTCCAGTTTGTGAAAAAACTTTTGTCTCAAAATTATTGTCTGATTTGACTTTTTATGGATTAAATTACATGTATAACCTTCACAAGTTATTTGGTCCAATTCTATCGTTTGATAGGAAGAAAAAAAAAAAAGAAAAAGAAAAAGAATAGCTGAATCTGTAAATCCTCTCTCTTCAAACCCATGGCCTTTTGGCTTCTGTCGTGCACCATGGATTCCAAATCCGTTGCCTCATCTTTTTAATCCACCGCCGATTACAGACCTTCACCCATCTCTTCCGTTCTTACACCTTTGCAGCCAAAAGCTTCTTTTGCTCACCCGATTACACATTCCTTTAACCTCATTTCTTCAATTCTTCCACCTCCGTAGAATTGTGAAGCTTCTTCTTAAGAGAATTGGAATAAGTAGTTTCAGATGAATCAAAATTACAATCCGACATTTCAATCGGGTCAAAATAAAATTCAACTTAAGAAGTTCCACCAAATCCCGAATCAAAACTGCTATCGATTCGAACCATATTTTTCAGCAAGAATCGCCTGGAGGAACATCTGTAACTCGGAGTAACAACTTTCCCAAATTCGATTGGCCCTAGAGAATGAGATGACCTGACAATTGAAGAATTCTATGCATCTATATGGTGAGGAAAATTCTCTAAATTTAAAATTCTTCGATAGAGAGAATTTGATTTGACTTTTTTCCAGGCGTGTGAAAGACGAATAAACGAAGGTGATGCTCTTGTGTTTTGAACTTGGTTTGATTTTTGAAATTGGGTGTCGTGTGTGAGAGAAGCTATGGAAGTTGAATCCTTTGCCGATTATACCATGTATGCAGGGGTATATTTAGAAGATTAAATAAAAATATGGTTAAATTTGACCAAAAATAAAATCTTATATTTTAGTAAAACTGGACAATAATTATGGGACGGAGGGAGTACTTTTATTGAAGATTACAGGAAAATTATTAAGTACTCCTATATAGGACAATTATCTCACTGTTTGAAATCCTTTCCAAATAATTAACCTCCCTAATGATGCAATTAGATAACATCCCAATAAAATCATTACTTCTTCGAATTGAGGCTTGAGCTACCGAAATTCGACTCATCCGAAGAGGGAAGTACTGGTGAATTAGTCAAATACAGTATTAAGAAGCCATTACTTTCTTAGGACCACCTTCATGACTTTGTTGCACGAGAAATTCCCCACAAAAACTTGTGAATTTGAAGCGTTATTCTGAGACAAATAAGAGATCGAAGCTTAAAATCTATTACAAGACAACACAATGCTTACACACTCAGGGATGTTAATTAATAGTCAGAAATGCACAGTTTTATTCGAAAAGCAGAAACATCATATTACATTTTTCTTTTTTTTTTGGCAATTTTTACACTAGTAAACATTTGTCAATGCTATTTGTGCAAATGTGAAATATTATTGCCGTCATTGATTGGCAAAATTAAGGTAAGAGAATAACACACGACGAGAAGTCGAAGAAACTAATAAGCGCTCCCTAGACGTACAAGTTCGCAATACCAGCAGTTGATTCAGTTAGGAGGCCCGGGGCGTGACTTCGAAGAGGAACCAGAATCTGATGCCATAATTCATTTCTGCAACAAGAAATTATGTGTTTGCATTAAAGTGTACATTCGTAATGCTTATAGATACTAAACCCTAAATAATAATGTCACGATGAGAAAATTCGATGCAAAAGAATAATTAAAACATCGCGGTATCTATGTTACCTTAATTATTCGTCATTCAGTTGTGCCTGATGAGGAAAGGAAATTTTGCGGGTCGGGCTGGCTAAGTTGGAGACCGATAGGAATGGGGCGTCCCTGATCCGCCATGGCAAGTCCATAAGGAACATTGTAGTTATTGCTCCCATTTGCGGCATTCGGATTTCCAATGGTGTAAGCCTGAGACCCAAAAATGGTGTGTAACCGGGTCAACTCCAGACATTTAATTGTATATGAAGTTGCAGACACAACTTGACAATATTGCTAGAAATGGAATTAATGGGACGAAATGTTTGTTGAGGTCATTAATTAGGTAAATTATTATGCAGATGCGATATAATTGTACCTTCTCATGTAATGAGATGTTATCTTGTTGAATTGAGTTTACCTTCTTATAGAGTTCCAGGTTTTCTTGATGGATGAGGTTCCCCTGAAATTCAAATCCAATACAACAAAGTAATATTATTTTATTTTTTATTTTTTTAAAAAAATCCACCTCAGTGAACCTTACTTAAATGTAAGTAAAACCTTCCTTACAGATCTCTTGGTGGGAATCGAACCTCACTTAAATGTGGGTAAAATCTCCCTTACAAATCTCTTGGTGGGATGTCTATTATCAAAAAAAATAGTACTCTAACCACTAGACTATCATTCAATTTCCATTGTAACGAGTAATTATATACACATGTTAACAAATATATTCGGAACGCACCTTTCTTGTTAGTTCCCGGATTTCGTCCGTGAGTATTTGCTCCTGCAAAGTGGCCTCTATTGTTAATGCAACAAGAACTTTCAGTGGCGTGAATTACTTGCCAAATAAACTGGCAACAGGAAAATATCAATTACAACTTTTAAACAATGATTTTGACAAATATCTGACCTTTTTCATGCGGATCCCACGTAAACTCATCTCCAGTTGGTTCTCTATATCTTGAAGATCTTTGACGCTCAACCCATAGAGGGCTTCACCCATTAATTGCCTGTCTTGTTCAAAGTGTTTGTATGAGTCAAGGATTTAGGCAATTTACATCACTTTCGCGTAACACTATTCAAACTTGACAATTATTTCGAACAGACTCATCAAGTATTTTATTCGAAACAACCAAATGTCATTAGTGCTCTTTCTTCACTCCGTTTTGATCAATTAAAACCCTTGCTAGCTGAGGTGTCTGAGTTGAGATATTTACCTATGACTTTCCTGCAAGTTTTGTAATTCATGCCTTAGCATTGCTGCTTCCCTTTGCCAAAACTAGCAAAAACAATACACCAGGTTTTACAGTCAAAAAAGAGAGATTACCATCAATGTGTAAAGAAGTGCGACTTATATCAAAGCAAGTTGGCTTCATTGGCCGGTAAAGGAAACCACCACAATATTATTTTTTTCTCGTCATCAAATCATTACCAAGTGATTGTCATTATATCAATTCTCAAGTCAATCACCGTATAAATGACTTCCAAAATTCACATCTAACATATTCCCGGAAACTAAAGGTCAAATAATAACTGGAACAGTAGGAGAAACTTGGTCATCAAAAACATCCTCTAAAGTTTACAAAGGTACTCCATCCCCATCACGAGATGATTTTCATGTTCATTGTACTAAAATAATAAAACAAACAAGAGAATCAATTTGGAATAGAGAAATAATAGTTCATTACATATGTTAAAAATCTAATTTCCGGATAAGCTCTTTTTCATAGTACTATTTTAGTAAAAACTGAGGTGTATCACATTTATATAGCACCTGAGGTATTATACCTTCTTTTAGGACTAAAAACAACACTTAAATGACTCTATACCAATTAGTGTGGTTGATGTTCCGTATATTTCTAGCTTATTTTCCTTTTGCTTGATTAGAGTATGAATGCTCTCTTAAGTATCATTTCAAACTGTGATGATCATTAAATTAATTTGGATGATAAAATAGTTTGAATCATTCATGTTTCCTTGGTATCAAAGATGATAAAATATTGAAAACCGAAACAAAAATTGAAGAAAATTCAGCTAAATTTAGTTGGCCTTCCCGTCGATCGTGTCGTATCGACAACCAAGTCGACGATATTTCGTCGACTTTCTCGTCGACCCACTAAGTCGACAAAGCATTATAAAATTTCCATTTTCTTACATTGTTCGTTTTTAAAAGGTTTTCCAATCTGAAACTTATAGGCCTTGAAAGAACATATGACTTATTTTAGATTATTTTAGTAATTCATAAATAATCACGCGTTGAAATTATTTAATGATGATTAACCACTCATTCATATTCCTAGAACTTCTCTTTAATTTTGATCTTCACATTATCCTCTTGACTTGAGTCACTACTTACATATAATGGAGACAGTAATTGTCATTCATTTTCCATTCAGTTAGATAATTAAAATGTGGTAAAACAAAGAAAGACGACAACCATGCTCGAAGGTTCATTCAATCAAGGCGAAGCTGTATATAGGAAGAGCAAATGGTACATTGACTTAGTTTTGGATTCAAAAGAAACCAATGTAAACCATTTTTCAACCTATATCAATTACACCCCCACAGATCGAATGAATGAACTTTTCATTTTTCACTGCATTTCTGGATTGATACCTTCTTTGTTACAAGTGCATCATATTTTTTATTTGAAATACTATACATTCCAGGAATACTATGGTGACCAGGACAAACGAACTACCTTCTAATGGAATTATGTCAAACAATCGAATGCCATTTGCATACAAGAGATGTTTATTTGGGAATCTCGCGTGCAAGACCTATTAAATGAAAATATTGCTCTTGTTTTTTCGTGTCTTTGTCCAATCTAAAGTAATTGGACTACACTACTTGAGCACACTAGAGCAAAATTCAGCTAGGTTTCCGGCAAGTTTATAAATTAAATTGTTCATGCACTTCTATACATGATACATTTCTCATTTTTTATTTTTATTTTTGAAAAAAATTGTTCAACATAATTCCATTAAAAGATAGTTCGTTCCTCCTGGAAGCAAAGCATTTGGACATATATATAAATATTGTTAATTGATCAGTTCTATAAAAGCAGTCACATTCATATTTAGTTCAACAAACATGAGCGTTTTGTGGCATAGACATAGTACAGTTTTGTTGTTTTGACCAATTTTCCAATTTGTAGAGAAGAATTTAGTGATGCATCGTACACAAAATCAAGATTAAGGGGGAAAAATGGCATGAGGTTTTCTGCGGGAGAAGATAGTACCTTGACTTCTGACAACGGATTAAGCAGCTGGTGGCGTTCCTCTTTGGCTTTGTGGTAGCGTTCCATGACGGATTTCATGCTGTTCACAATGAAAACCAAAGTGTTCTTCTGGTCAGTCTTCTTGCATGGATTAATTTCTCATATAATTCTGAATCATATGAAGGAAAGAATATTATTGGGATGAATACACAAAAATGAAGGATGCTTTGATTAAAACATGTGGGTACAACTCGAGAGAAAACTCAATGCGGGATATTTTTCAGAAAAGAGGGAGTAAATTAAATGACAAATAGAAAGTTATTAACACAGCGTTTTAGAAACAAATTCACAATTTAATCGCACATATTAGTCTGATCATAGATTGATAAATCATGCTTAATTAGGCAAATTAATTGATGAGCTTCCTAGAAATGGTTCTAAGTCAATACCATATTTATATGCGAGTAATCATGATCTTCCTTTTGAGCTGACGACACTATTCAATGATTTCTTTGTGGTGGTTAATTAACCATTACACATACATCAAATGCATCATCAATCCTATCGAGTTACTCACTCAGCAATTTGGAGTTGTCAGAATTACTTTGACCTTCTCTGTTGTGAAAGTTCGCAATCTTTGTGATAAAACATCTAAACTAAGCAAGCACTTGGATTTCATAAACATGAATTAAAGAATAAAGTAGCAACAATCAGATATTTACACTTTCGAGCAAATAAGTACACACAAAACCTTAACTTTAGAAAACGTTAGATGTGTTGGATCAGTCAACTACATATATACATACCACTATAAAAATTCTTCAAAGGATAGACTTTTCCCATATCTAACACAAACAATTACTAGAGAACTGGTTCACTAGTAATACATGCTCCATCTGTCCCTAAGAACTGGTTCACTTTATTATATTATTTTTATTGAATAAATAGACTTTTTTTTTCTGGGACCAAGTGAATATGAAATTAAGGATGTTATAATGGATGTCCCTCATTATTTTGTCACATTTATTTTAAATGATCTCCAAACTTCAGTACAATGATAGTGCAAAAGATGTATCAATTACTTTGAAGTCGAAGATGTTCCTTTAGTCTATTCATTTCCTGACTAGAAGAAACATAGAGTTAGCCAAAAAAAGAAGCAAATAAAATTATAAAAGTGGTCAATGTAGGATGAATGGAGATTAACCATGCTATATACAGCTAGAGTCCTCCATATTTATAGGTTTAGCTTTACCACTTCACTTGTAGAGGTGCTCAAGAAAGGTTAAAAAAAATGAAAAAAACTTTTCAACCGGCCCAAGAAAAGATTTTTACCTTATCAGTAATGTCTTTTACTCTTAGTTCTCCCCGGACACCAAAGCTCATTCAATGCACAATAAGTAAAGATAGCAGGTAGCCAAGCCAAAACTCACATTTAAAACGAGAACTTGATACCTTTTCATTCTCATAGCTCCATTGGTAAGAAAGCATGACAGATAGTTATCATTTACGATTCTGGCATAACATATTTTACCATACATACCACATATAGTAGGAAACTAAAACATTGATATAGATATTAGTAACAGATGCGTTATAAGTGCAACATTGATACTCTCAAGGATTCATATGTGTATGTGGATGAACTCAATGCAGCAAAACCTTTGGCGATCGTATGGAAACAAACCATTGGAAGTTTGGGACATCAACTCAGACAGTACTAATGAAAACTCTAAAACATTCCATATATACCAAAAAAAAAAAAAAAAAGCAATTGTGATTTCATGAGTTGACCAGAAAAAAGTGTAAGGAAATTCTGAGAAAGGATTACCTAACGTTACTACTACTTCGATTGTACCTACAAAAGATACGTACGATAACTTAAGAAAGACAAACACAGTGAACACAAAAACACAGTTGAAAACAAACGGAAGAAGAAGAACCCTAATTAAAGAGGACGGTATTGTAATATATCTTGAGCTTAATTTCGATATTGATGTACCTGGTGCTCGCATAGTCATAGAGCTTGCTGGTGCTCGAGAAAACGATGACACCAACTTCAGCATCACAAAGAACAGCCAGCTCCTTCGCCTTCTTTAACAGCCCATTTCTTCGCTTTGAAAAAGTGACTTGCCTGCTCGTCGAGTTATCGATCCTTCGGATCACAATCTTCCCTCTTCCCATCTGTACGGAAGAAAAGTCTTAGGGTTCTCTTCAGCTCAAACATTAAAAATGGATTCTAGATCCAAGATATATTCATAGTCAAAGCAAGAATCCAAAAGACAATCCACCTTCCAAATAAAGCAAGAAAAAAATACATGGGAAGAAGGCTAAAAACGAAGCAAAATCAATCAGAAATTACAGTAGTTTGTAAAAGCGGATGGAAAAGCTAGTTAACTTACATTCTTGAAGAAGCTTAATCTAATGATGCGTTTTTTCTTGTGATTTTGAAAGTGAGAGTTTTCTGGGAAGCATTTATCAAGCATCAAAGGTCAAGGAGGGACCCTTTTATAGGTAAAGAAAAAGAGAAAAAGAAATGGTGAGAAAAAAAGAGAGGAATAAAAAATGGAAATAATGGGTTTCCAAAAAAAGATAGAACGTGTTTTGGGTTGGAGGGCTAAGGAAGTGTAGAAATCGAGGATGAATCGGTCATTTTAAATATAGGGGTGGTCTTTAAATAATGGTGAAGTTTTGTGGCGCCGCCATCGTATCAGTCACTGACGCGTGGGGAATCCAAGTCTTTTACCTTAATATTTCTAAAACTGGAAGTGCAATACTGCTTTGAGTAACTGTGTAAACCTTAAATTCCTATCAAACCTTTACAATCATATGAGGTTTGGCAACTCTATGGCCTCTCTTCACGTGAGCTTCTGTCTAAAGACCATTTTCTCCTCCGGTCAGAAATTAGGTAATAAATTTTAAGTTAGTGAAAATACATAGTGAAAGGATTAATAAATGAGGTTTATCTACTTCTTCTTTTTGTAGTTTCAATAGTATTATGATCTTCATATCAAGTTTTTTAAATCTCAACAGTTATATATTTATCTTTAATTACAATATACACATCAGTCATTATAACATTTCACCGTATCTTTTTACTGTCTCAGTCACTGCTCTAAATTTTATTAAATCTATTTTAAAGTCAAATTATTGAAAATTAAAAAATTGATTTCGTTTAGGAGTTTTTTTTATTATTATTTTCACTGCTTAACGATTTTATTCGTTAAACATATTAATTCTTGCAAAGACAGTTCTCATATTAATAAGGATCTTCCCTTTATTTTTCTTCAATATTTGCAACTATGAAATTGACCAAGCCACTGAGGAAGAATCCACATATTGACATATTGTTGAGAGAGCAGGGTTTCTCTATATATTCATTGTAGTACTTTTTTTACGGTGAGCTATGAAATTTTTCTTTATTTGTATTCAATGTTGAAAATCATTATTTAGACTAATTCAGTTTCAAAGTAAGTCGAATCTAGATAGGGGGAAAAATGTTATAAAACGTATTTTAATTAATGTTACATATTCATATTTACTAGTATTCGAACAAATTCAACTGACCATGCAAGTACTTCTACACCGTATAGATTAGGCACTTGTTGTTTGACTATTCAATGTTGGAGAGATTTATTAATGACACCGATCGATTTAAGAAGCATTGAGGCATACGATCTATATGTTTTATACTAATAACTACAATGATGTGTTTGTTTTTAATTTGAATGCAGATGGATTTAGGAAAAGCGACTATAATTAAGTCGATCTATAATTGTGCAATGGAAAGTGTTTGTTTTATATTTTGTCTACATTGAATTAATCTATAATATTGTCCCTACCATTGTCAATGTTTTGTGTTTTATAATCATTACACGATTCTCTCATTCTACTATGTGCAAAAATTAGCATTATAAGGTTAGTCTTTCATTTAGTTTGATTATTTCAAGATGTTCCTGAGGCATCATTAATATACAAGGCCAAAGGAAAGAAAAAAAAAAAGAAAACGAAAACGAAAACGGAGAAACAAAACAAACAAACATGGAAATTGGAGGAAAATACACAATCAAGTGTTTCCAAGGCAGTGTGAATCAATAATAGAAGTGTGACAATTGAAAATCGTTCAATCATTCTCGATCAATTACGTACGTACATGAATATATATCTAATGACCTAAAATGGGTTGCTTCAATGAGGAGAGTTTGATGAAGATAGAAAGGAGTTAAGGGAATGAATTTGAGTGTTGGATACCCAAAGATGAACAAAAGCACAAGTATCATATTCTTCTAAAAAAGTGAGACTATCTTTGACGCTAAAAAGAAAGGCTAAGATACGCAGTCAAAACTCAAAAGCAAGAAAGAAATTCATGAAGATGAAGGTTTGACAGCGAAGAAATGTGAAGCACAGAAAAGCAACTAACATGTATCTCTCGTATAGATTCTGTCCATAAACCAAATATTCCAAGCTTCCAAAAAGTTCAGCGAATTTGCAATTATAAAGAGTAAGTCGTTTCAAAATTTAATTTTGGTTTTATTGGAAGTTTGATGGAAAAAATTTACGATGACTAATCACACTGAGCAGTAGGTATATATCAACGTGTAAGATTTGACAATATTCTCTACAGTATAAAATTATTGCTATAATTTACGATGATTTAAAACATTATTTATCATAGTAATTCGTCACGATTATTCTACTAAAAATTCCACAATCGTTATTATTCTCTTCATCCAATAATTAGATAGAATACTCAAACTCAGCTAATGCACAGTCCCCATGAGCCCTTTTTTAAAGACATTTTTTCAGTATATATTTTTTAAAAAAAAATTATAATCGTAAATAGCACATAATCGTTCGAGTAAAAGTGCTAGTGGCCAACACTTTAGAAACAAAACTTTGACTATGAGATGGAAGCACCATCTATTTTTCCCCACGGTAAATGGGTAACTTCCTTACCATATAATAATTATATATGCGTATATCACTTTGTTTAACTCATATCAAATCAACAAGTGCCAACCTTGGAGGAGATCATTCAACTCGATCGGAAGAAATTAAAAAGGCATATGAAATTGATTTATATCTGGTGAATCTAGATAACTACGAATAAATGCATCATAGTAATTCTAATGCATTATTTGGGTTTTAAAATAGCAGTAACTTAGATTAGTATTAGTATGACCTATGCAAACATACATGACACCACCTGAACAAGTCGCACATAGACCTAAATGCATGTTTTCGATGCCTGAGAACATCTCCAAAAAAAACAACAATTTGCTCTTTTAAAATCTCTAATTACTCCTTGAAATTAAGACAGAAGAAAATATGTTCATTTTCAATTTGGTGATTATATATACATGTACTCTTCAACGCCTTTGATCAAGGTCTTACCACATCAAATTCAACACAAAAAGGGTTCATTTTATTCATTACAAATTCATTCCTCAGAAGGCTGAAACAACGGAAAAAAAAGGTCAATATTTAGTCTTTGGAATAAATTTCTCCAATTCGGAGGGAGTAAAAAATCCGACAAACACGTGAAGAAATCAAGCAAACCAGTAGGGAATCGATGAACACTCATGCACGCCTGCATCATTCTTCATACAATATCAATCCGCAAAGTAGTACAATTTTGAGATCCCTACTTCCCTTACACAAAGCTGCCTTTCAATTTCATTTGTCAAAAGTTGCTGGCAATATCTCCAAAGCCTTTTCTTCATCACTAACCAGATAAGAAAAAGAACCCATCTAATTAAAAGTAACAGACTAGTACAAGTATCAAAATATACAAACAAAGCAGCTTATAGCTAGGTTAATTAGAAGACTTTAGACTTTAGAGCCTTTTTTTAAAAAAAAAAATTTAAAAGAAAAGGGGAAAACCCTGAAAATAAAAATTGCATGAAATTAGTTGGAAAACGGATTCAGTAGGCAGACAATCACAATAAAGGACATGGTAACTTTGTCGGCTGGAAAATAGCGTTTGTCATTGGTCAGGTCCACGTGAACACTGTTCTGAAAACCAATGAGATTCGTCCTCACTGGAGATCATAATGAGTTTCTGGGATTAAGGGAAGAAGAAAATATTATTAGTCTTCTCTCCAAAATTCAAAGCCCTAGTAGTATGCATTTTTAGACCCAAAAATAGTACACCCATTTTTTATTTCTTCAATACCAAAAATAGACAGGTGTCAATCATCAGCAAATGATATATGGTAATACACCAAGAAGAAAGGAAGAGCTAGAGTCCAAGATTCAAGTTATAGAGTTTACTTTATCCTCCCCCCATTAATTTGATCAATGGATATGTCACTTTTATGACTCATCAGAACCCTTTTAATATTGTTTCTTTCATGTTTTGATGTTCACTTGGGGAATTATTAATAGAGAGAAGGGAGATTTGCATCAGATGTTATGTCCCTTTTCATGATCTCCGGCCACATGCTTGACATTGTCGCCCTACCATTGAAGTTTGCAAAGAAAATGGAACTACTTTATTCATTAAGGCCTCGATCACTTCAATAACCTTCATTAATCAATCCTTTTAGATTCAATTTGCTTACATTGATTGGATGCAAAGCACTATATTTGTTCTAATGGTCCGCTGGGGAAAAAAAAAAAGAGGTTGTTAACCATATTACAATGAATGACTTGGAAGTAGTACACCACTCATCTTTTGCGAAGGAGATTTGGCATTAATTGTAATCTCTATATAATTGGTGAACCAAAATAAGTAAGCTTTATAAGTACAAGCAAAGAGTACAAGTACAAGGGAAATCAACAAGTACAAGTACAACAGCTATTTTAGCTCTAAGTTAGGTATTCTGCAAATCAACAAGTACAAGTACAAACAGCAGCCTCAACATGCTGGTGTTTCACATTTTAATTTAATTCGTGCTGTTCATCAAATGGATGCATCCTTCTATTCGGGTACGAAGAATTTCAGAATATATTATTTGACATTAAAAAAAAAAAACCAATACATTTCGCACTGAAATAATGCTAACTCAATATTGAAATTGTTGCTCCAATTCAGGCAAAAAAAGAGAGAAACAAATGACAACGAGAGACAAAGGGAAAAAAAACTTCGTTTATCTTCCAAAATATGCATATATATCTCATTGCCATTTGTTTCACAACTTACATAATAACTAAGAACTTCACGAGACAGTAGCTAGCGACGATGGTAGGAGAGAAGGTTGAAAATTTGTGGCGAAGTTGTCCTTAAAATAACATTTATCAAACACAAAAAGCAAAATAAGATGAAACAGCAATCCCACTTCAGCTTTACCTTTTTCCATATAGGGTAAATTACTTGTCGAAAGAAATAGGGAGGGAAAAAAACATGACCACTAGGCGGCTAAGAATCTATAAGGCTTGACATGTTCTCATGTTGATGGTTGAAACTTAAGGGAAATAACTAAAATGACAATGCAACTTGGTGCTCTTCTCAAAATAGGATCAAAACAGAAAGTAGAGCCGATTCGTCCGATGCTATATATTCAAAACGTCTGACGACAAAACAATTAAATCGGAGGGAGTACCTCGTATGCTTTTATAGTTTGAACACGAAATAAAAGCAGCAATTATACATAAACTGTGAATCGTCAATCAT